TGTGTTGGATGTGTTGGGTGTTGGTGTGTTGGTGTTTTGGTTTGTTGGTGTTAGTGTGTTGGTGTGTTTGGTGTTTTGGTGTGTTAGTGTGTTGGTGTGTTTGGTGTGTTGGTGTGCTGGAGTGTTAGTGTGTTGGTGTGTTGGTGTGTTGGTGTGTTGGTGTGTTGGTGCATGCTGGAGTGTTGGTGTGTAGTGTGTTGGTGTGTTCGTGTGTTGGTGTGTTGGTGTGTTGGTGTTTTGGTGTGTTGGTGTGTTAGTGTGTTGGTGTGTTGGTGTGTTGGTGTTTTGGTGTGTGTGAGTGTGGAGTGTGTTGGTGTGGTGTGTTGGTGTGCTGGGTGTTGGTGTGTTGGTGTGTTGGTGTTGGGGTGTGTTGGGGTGTTGCTGGGTGTTGGTGTGTTGGTGTGTTGGTTGGTTTGGTGTGTTGGTGTGTTAGTGTGTTGGTGTGTTGGTGTGTTGGTGTTTGGTGTGTTGTGGTGTGTTGGTGTGTTGGTGTGTTGGTGTGTTGGTGTGTTGGGTGTTGGGTGTTGGTGTGTTACTAGTGTGTTGGTGTGTTGGGTGTTGGTGCGTTGGTGTGTTGGTGTTTTGGTGTGTGTGTTGGTGTGTTAGTGCGTTTGGTGTGTTGGTGTTTGCTTGGTGTGTTAGTGTGTTTAGTGTGTTGGTGTGTTGGTGTGTTGGTGTGTTGGTGTGCTAGGTGTTAAGTGTGTTTTTATTTTGGAGTGTTGGTGTGTTGGTGTTTTGGTGTGTTAGTCTAATGTTTGGTGTGTTGGTGTGTTGGGTGTTGGAGTGCGTTGGTGTGTTAGTGTTTGGTGTGTTGGTGTGTTGCAGGGGTGTTAGTGTGTTAGTGTCTGTTGAGTGTGTGTTGGGTATTTGGTACGTTGGTGTGTTGGGTGTTTTGGTGTGTTGGTGTGTTGAGTGTGTTGGAGTGTTAGTGCGTTGGTGTGTTGGTGTGTTAGTGTTTTGGTGTGTTAGTGTGTTGGGGTGTTGGGTGTGTTAGTGTGTGTTGGTGTGTTGGTGTGTTGGTGTGTTAGTGTTTTGGTGTGTTGGTGTGTTGGTGTGTTGGAGTCTAGTGCGTTGGTGTGTTGGTGTGTTGGTGTGTGTTAGTGTGTTACGGTGTGTTAGTGTTTTGGTGTGTTAGTGTGTTGGAGTGTGTTGGAGTGTTAGTGCGTTGGTGTGTTGGTGTGTTGGTGTGTTTGCTTTTTGGGTGTCCCAGTGCGGGTGTGTTGGTGTGTTGGTGTGTTGGTGTGTGGAGTGTGTTGGTGTGTTGGTGTGTTAGTGTTTGGAGTGTGTTAGTGTGTTAGTGTGTTGGAGTGTTGGTGTGTTAGTGTGTTAGTGTGTTGGGTGTTAGTGCGTTGGTGTGTTGGTGTTTTGGTGTGTTAGTGTTTGGTGTGTTGGTGTGTTGGTGTGTTAGTGTGTTGGTGTGGGTGTGTTGGTGTGTTGGTGTGTGTTGGGTGTTGGTGTGTTAGTGTGTTGGTGTGTTGGTGTGCTGGGTGTTGGTGTGTTGGGGTGTTGGTGTGTGGTGTGTTGGGTGTTGGTGTGTTGGTGTGTTGGTGTGTTGGTGTGTTAGTGTTTTGGTGTGTTAGTGTCTGTTGGAGTGTGTTGGTGTGTTAGTGCGTTGGTGTGTTAGTGTGTTAGTGTGTTGTGGTGTGTTGGTGTGTTGGTGTGTTAGTGTGTTGGTGTGTTGGTGTGTTGGTGTGTTAGTGTGTTGGTGTGTTGGTGTGTGTTGGTGTGTTGGTGTGTTGGTGTGGTGTGGGGTGTGTTAGTGTGTTGGTGTGTTGGTGTTGGTGTGTGGGTGTTGTGTGTTGGGGTGTTGTGTGTTGGTGTGTTGGGTGGTTGTGTGTGGGTGTTGGTGTGTTGGTGTTGTGTGTAGGTGTGTTGGTGTGTTGGTGTGTGTTGGAGTGTTGGTGTGTTGGTGTGTTGGTGTGTTGGTGTGTTGGGTGTTAGTGTGTTGGAGTGTGGTGTGTTGTGCTGGGTGTTGGTGTGTTGGTGTGTGGGGTGGGTGGGTCGTTTAACAAAAGCTTTCATTACACTGAAAGAAGAAGGAACATGAGTTGGACATACAAATTATTATAGTTTACAGTTGATGGCCCGGGCCTGGACTGGTCATGGAGACACCAGGTGGTGTGGTGTTCACGTGGTGTAGTAACTCGTCCTCGGGCGTTGATATGAAGGACCTCGCGTGGTCATGGAGACACCGGGTGGTGTGGTGTTCACGTGGTGCAATAACTCGTCCTCGGGCGTTGATATGAAGGACCTCACGAGGTCATGGGGACACAGGGTGGTGTGGTGTCCACGTGGTGCAGTAACTCGTCCTCGGGTGTTGATATTAAGGACCTCACGTGGTCATGGGGACACCGGGTGGTGTGGTGTTCACGTGGTGCAGTAACTCGTCCTCGGGTGTTGATATGAAGGACCTCACGTGGTCAGGGAGACACCAGGTGGCGTGGTGTTCTACGTGGTGCAGTAAATCGCCCTCGGGTGTGATATGAAGGTCCTCACGTAGTCATGGGGACACCGGGTGGTATGGTGTTCGTGGTGCAGGAAATCGTCCTCAGGTGTTGATATGAAGGACCTAACGTAGTCATGGGGACACCGGGTGATGTGGTGTTTACGTGGTGCAGTAACTCGTCCTCGGGTGTTGATATGAAGGAACTTACGTGGTGTGGGGTGTCACAGAGACTTGGGTAATGAGCCAAGCATTGGCCAAGTGAGTTGGAGTGTTGGTGTGTTAGTGTTTTGGTGTGTTGGTGTGTTAGTGTATTAGTGTCGGTCAACAGGGAAGCCCTCTGGCAGACCCTCAGCCGTTTTGGCTGCCTACCAAAATTTATCGCCATTGTGAGGCAACTCCACGATGGCATGAACGGCAGTGTCCTGCACAATGGCACCCAGTCTGTGTTTTTCCCCATCCAAACGGGGGTTAAGCAAGGGTGTGTACTGGTGCCAACTCTCTTTTCCATTTTCTTGGCTGCCTTCCTTACTCGTGCCAGCGCCAATTTAGCCGGCAGGGTGGACATCTAGTACCGGATGAAGGGTCATTTCAACATAAGATGACTCCAGGCAAGAACAAAGCTATCGGCAGCTTCCATTACTGAGCTTCAGAATGCAGACGACCTCATCCTTGATGCTCACACTGAACGCGAACCTACAGGAGATCCTGAACACCCAAACAGATGCGTATGCACACTTCGGCCTTGAGGTGAATGTACGTAAGACTCGGATTCTCTTTCAGCCTGCCCCTGGTTCAGCCACACCTCCACCATCCGTCCAGCTTACCGGTACTACACTGTCTAATGTTACCCACTTTCGGTATCTCGCCTCCCACCTGTCCACCACTGCGGACATTGATGTAGAGATTCAGCGTCAAATCAGATGTGCATCTCAAGCCTTTGTCAGACTACGAAACCGTGTCTTCAGCTGTACGGAGCTGAAATTATTTACAAAGTTACACTTATATCAATCAGTGGTCCTCCCCACTCTGCTATATGGCAGCGAGACATGGGTCACATACAGGAGGCACCTCAATGCACTTGGAAACTATCACCAAATTAGTCTTTGTTCCATCCTCCGAGTTCGCTGGGAAGACAGAGAACAAATGCCAGTATTCTTGCTGACACCAACTGTAGGAGCATTGAGGCTACCATTATCCATGAACAACTACGCTGGACTGGCCATGTTACCCGCTTGGACGACAGTAGACTACCAAATAGTAAACGTAACGCTGACGGACAACTGAAGAGTATAGGGATAGTCTTAAGACAATCCTGAAAAAGTGCCAAATCGACCTCGTCACCTGGGAGACGATTACCCCACACCGTAACGCTAGGGAGGATCACCACACAAGAAGTGTCAATACCTTTGAGTTAGCCCGACTGCATAACGAGGCAGACAAGCACCAACGCCGGAAAGACGCTGCCGCTGCCCCTCCCGCACTAGATGTAGTCCCCCACATGTGCAACGTCTGTGATCGACCCTGCCGGTCACGTATCGGCCTCTTTAGTCACCTCAGAACTCACCAACCTAGGTGACATCCCAAATAACTCGTATCAATGTATCATAGCTGGATGATCGTCATACTCGATTCCGAGTGACAGCAAAGTAGTAGTAGTAGTGTTGGTGTGTTGAGGTGTTGGGGTGTTGAGGTGTTAGTGTGTAGGTGTGCTCGTGTGTAGGTGTGCTCGTGTGTAGGTGTGTAAGTGTGTTGGTATGTTAGTGTGTTGGTCTGCTAGTGTTGGTGGCCAGATAGCTGAGAAGAAAAACAAATTCGGACAGGAAAAACAAGAGAGCTGTCTTGTTATTTCCCACAGGTGACCGTGGGAGCCTCATTACCTGGCGCACACACACACACACGCACACACACACACACACACACACACACACACACACACCTGGCTATACCTGAGTGCTTCTTACCCAGCATACAGTTCTCCTCCTTCTTACATCTGTACTTCCTCCACCTCTTCCTGCACCTCTTCCTCCACCTCTTCCTGCACCTTCTCCTCCACCTCTTCTTGCACCTCCCTTTCCATATCTTCCTGCACCTTCACCTCTTCCTGCACCTTCACCTCTTCGTACACATCCTCCTCTTCTTGCACATCCTCCTCTTCTTCTTGCACATCCTCCTCTTCCTGCAACTCCTCTTTTTCCTGCACCTCTTCCTCCAGTACCAACACACTGGAGGTGGACCTTACATTGGACGGACACCAAAATACTTGCAAAGAAATATTGACTAAACTGCCAAATATATACAATAAATGTATGAGTGTATATATATATATATATATATATATATATATATATATATATATATATATATATATATATATATATATATATATATATATATATGCGTGTGATAATAATCAATATGTGGATGTAATAGTTATAAATTCTCAATAAATGCATGTATTGATTTGTATTATTGATACATTAAGGTAAGTATTGATGTGGTATGTTGACTGTTGTAAATTACTGTGTTAACTAATTCTTTTTCTTTTCTTTTCCAGGCCTAAAGGGTGAACTAGAAGGAAGGCCAGTTAAACGAGGGTAAGGGTCTGCCTGTCTGTATATATGTGTGTGTGTGTGTATAGAAATAATAATAATTTACGGTCTCTTACCTAATAACGCACTGCACTGCTGCAGGTGAGATGGGCGAGCCAGGTACAGTTTCTCGTGGGTATAATTTGTATTGCTTAAGGGTACAGTTCTAAAATGAGGAACAAGACCCCGGTACCTCGAACTTAACAGGGTCTTGGTAGTTACTTGATAAACAAATTAAGACTGTTCCGTCGGCAGTCATTGGCATCATTGTTGACGACACCAGAGTTTGTTTACAGGAGTTAAAGTATAGAACTTGAATCGGTAAATATTTCGAAGTTGCAATTCACGGAAATAACTATGGAAAATAAGTTTTTATCGTGTTTTCATCATGTTTCACACGAATTTGACCTTCATTTCTGTCTGAAATGAGTAGTTATGGAGATGTGACCCCCCATTTACCAACAATACTGGTTGCACGAAAAGGGGGGGGGGTTGAAGTAAAGGGAAACTGTGAGGTAAAAATACGCAATAAAACTAACGAAACGAAACCAAACGAAACCTCCTAACCAGAGAAACCAAAAGGACCTTTTAGCCACCAACCTTGGACTGTGTGTAAGATACTTACTTACCTTAATTAACATATGTAGGAAAACGATAGTTCCATATTTCCTGTTGCGTAGCGCTGAGAGAAGTGTTTTCTGACGAACATATTGCAGAGCTGCAAGTTTTTCCACGCTGGCATGTGTACTCTGTTCAGTGCGGACACCGAATACCCACAATTACGAGATTTCTTTCGGCCTTCACGATACTGCAGTCTGAATCGCACCTTGGACACTTTACTGAAGAAGGAACACCAAGAGTTCTCAAGATGTCAACAGCTGCGACTTCGTTCTCAAAAACTTGCTGAATTACACGACAATCTGCCCAGGAGCAACACTTACAGACGACGCCATTCAAATTCCAGAGTTTGCACATGCTCACAAGAATCACTTGACATCCTCCGCTGATTGGCTGAGTAATAAGTGAACAATGTACAGTATATTCCCACGAACCTGTATTATGTTTAAGTGAAATAGAAAAGTCGGTATAACTCGAAAACTAAAAAATTCCGACGGAAGCGCTGTAGAATAATGTAGTCATTATTATCTTTTTTTTGCTCTGCCTCCCTTTATAAGAAAGAATCTGTATAGAGTTCCGTGGTTGACAATTTCGAAATATTTACCCCTGGATCATAAAACTTAAATCACAGAACTTAAATATAAACTTGAATCATAGAACCTAATCATAGAACTTGAATCACACGCAGACAGACAGACATACAGTGTAGACCAGCGTGAGGATGACATTACTCTGCGTTATAGTATTAGTTGTAGGCATGGAACAGTTATTGTGTTCATCATACACAGACAAACGTGTAACAGGTAATGTTAATACAGTATTTGTAAAGTTAAGGGTGCAGTATGGAGCCTTACAACTGGACACACTCACCCTGTCACCACTCCCCCAGTTTCTTCACCCACACATTATATCTGCCAGTCCTCGAGTGAGCCTTCACACCGTGTTCCTGTTTTAAGATCCTGAGATGATATGATCCTCCTTCCTGTGGTGAGGCCGAGGACACCTTTGCCATAACAACAACAGGATCCTCTCCTTTCCTGTCGCTGTAGAGATCAAGAAGGTGTCCTTGTACTGGTGACTCCTGGAGACCACCGGGAAGAAGGTCAACGCCTGACTGATGGCAGGATAAGCCACCGCTGGTAGGCTGGTTGGTGGCCGCCACCACCAGACGGTATCGCGGTGTGGGAGCTGTGTCACGGCCAGTCTTGTGAACGCCCACAGAAGACCAGGTGATGGAGCGAGGTGAAGCTGTTGGCGGCGTTGTTCACCTTACTTGTCCGCCTCTACGCCAGACGTGGCCTTTACACTTACCTTCATCCAACACCAAGACTCCACTTATGTGCCCAGCTCTTCCTCGAACGTTTACACGGAGTTGTAGCGTCTTAGCTGGTGGCTTGACAGCATAAGAGTGAAGGATTATCTCAATATTAGGCCTGAAGGAGAGGCTGAGGTTCTGACGCTACACCACTTCTTCACACCTGTGTCTCAGGTCGTGTGGTGTTGTCGTCGTGTTGTTGTTGGTGTGTGAACATCTCGGGACCAGCAGCTGTGAAACTGAGACAAGAGTCAGTCCTCAAGTTATGGCACCAACAAGAGTCTCACACAGTTATTGTGATTGTTGTTGTACACACTGTAGGTCTTTCATCAACATGATCCACCTGTAAACTGATATACAGTAATCATTATCTTGTCAGAAACTTTTTACTGTCACTGTAGTATTCAGCTATTTGTGTTGTAACCAGAGCGGGACAGTTTTCTTGGCAGGAGACAAAGTTTACAGAATCACCAGGGACTGTGACCTATCGTAACACTGCCTGAATACAGCAAAATACTATAACAGAAAGTTGCAAAAGTTTCATGTGGATAACCGACTCTTAGTGTGTAAAGAAGGAATTATAATGAACGTGTGGGACCATTGGTGATGTATTAAGGACTGACCCTCGTGTGACTGTCAACATTTTAGACTCGACCTCCGCCTTTCTCAATCGTACGTGCTGCCCTGCAAGCTGGCGCCCGACCCAGGTAGACGGTGAGGGGCAGAGGTGATTAGCTGCGGAGGGGTGAGGGGGGCGGAATCCAAAAAGGAAGAGGGTGTCACTGAGAGAGGAGGGAGGGCTGACGTGTGTGGCCGAGAGAAGACCACTGTGTGTGCGCCTTTGATGGGTGTAACAGTGAAGGCTCAGTGCGGCGCCTCAGATGGATGTGTCACCACCACCTTGATACACGTCGGTTCTTGGTCCCTCCCTCCTACTACCAACACACTCCTTCCTACTACCAACACATCCTCCCTCCCTCCTACCCACAACCAACACACTCCCTCCATCCCCCCTACCCACAACCAACCACTCCCTCCTTCCCGCCTACCCACAACCAACACACTCCCTCCATCCCTCCTACCCACAACCAACACACTCCTTCCCTCTTCCTCCCTCCCACCACTATTCACGGAGGACCCACATGAATCTGAACTCTATACATATATAGCTGTTAATGAATATGATGTATTTCTTTGTGTATGAACCTCTGTCCTGCGTGGCAGTGAGAAGTGATACCACCCTCAGTGTCAAGACCTGACTGAATTACTCAGAATAGGCAAACTGTACTACAAGCTTTGCCAATAAATTTGTTAAAATAACTAACGGAGGATATTTCTCTCTGGGTCGGACCAGCTGAATTCAGACCCAAATTGTGTTTACTTCTGGGTGTTGGTTGTGTTGGTTCACTCTGGTGTTGGTCGTGTGGGTTCACTCTGGTGTTGGTCGTGTGGGTTCACTCTGGTGTTGGTTGTATGGGTTCACTCTGGTGTTGGTCGTGTGGGTTCACTCTGGTGTTGGTTGTATGGGTTCACTCTGGTGTTAGTTGTGTGGGTTCACTCTGGTGTTGGTTGTATGGGTTCACTCTGGTGTTAGTTGTGTGGGTTCAAGTTCACCTGGTGTTAGTTGGGTTCACTCTGGTGTTAGTTGTGGGTTCACTCTCTGGTGTTAGTTGTACGGGTTCACTTGTTAGTTGTACGGGTTCACTCTGGTGTTAGTTGTATGGGTTCACTCTGGCGTTAGCTGTGTGGGTTCACTCTGGTGTTAGTTGTGTGGGTTCACTCTGGTGTTAGTTGTGTGGGTTCACTCTGGTGTTAGTTGTGTGGGTTCACTCTGGTGTTAGTTGTACGGGTTCACTCTGGTGTTAGTTGTACGGGTTCACTCTGGTGTTAGTTGTATGGGTTCACTCTGGTGTTAGTTGTATGGGTTCACTCTGGTGTTAGTTGTATGGGTTCACTCTGGTGTTGATGTCTCTTCCTTTGGATCTCCAGGGTTCATAAATGTTCACCTTGTATCAGATAAATTTAACAATACCAATTCAATTGAACCCCGAGCTGGTCACTAGAACCAGTTGAGTACGATAACCCCTCCCTCCCTCCCTTCTGAAGACGCCCAAATAGCCCTATAAGTTAATCTGAACTTGTGCACGAGTACTTATTTCTTGAGTAAGATGACATCGTACTCAAGGGTCTTATGAGTACCTTCCATTGTGACTTTACTATTTATATGTTAGTCCTTATCCTTCTATTCACTATTAATCTTTCCTTAAGCTGATTCTTCTTTCGTGTAATGTATCAAGTTCACATTTCTTATTATTTCTTCAAATTTCTCTAGACACCATTAATCTCTCCTTGAGCTGGTTCTTGTTTCGTTCAGTGTATTCAGTGTATATTTCTTCTTTATTCTCTGTTCTTCTATATACACGATATATTTCATCTTGAGCCGAGTCTTATTCCTGCTCTCCCTCTCTCTCTCTCTTATTTTTTTTATTATTATTTATTGGGCACTCCTCTACATCCTTGTGTAAGGTGAAGCGCAGAAGCGTTTACAGTGCCCAACAGGGAAGCATGCTAAGTTCATGCTTGCCTTTATGTCTCATGAGTTAAGGGCGTAGAAGCCTGAAGAATCAATGTTTTATGCCATCAAGTTATTGGAAGCCCCAACAACTTGTCCCTGAATACGAATTCGTAACTTTCGATTTACACCAGGTACCTACTTTACTGCTAGGTGAACAGGGGCTAAGGGGGCTACGAAGTATGTCCAAACAACGACCCGGGAATCGAACCCGTGACATCTCGCTTGCGAAGGCAAGAGCGGTACCACTCTACCACCAGCACCCCCATCTCTCTCTCTCTCTCTCTTTCTCTCTGGGTAAACATCCGCCTCGCTCTTCACATCACTCAGCGGGGCGCCTCTCCACACCATTCTCGCCTCTCCCACTCCTCCCTCTCATCTTATCCCTCACCCTCTTCTCACCCCGACCTAAGACTTCTCCATCATCCCTTAAGAAGATCATGAAACTTGAGGGAGTCTTAAGGTATAGGTCTCGAGTGGCTCAACATAAACAGCGAGGCGGGAGAGGCTGGCTGTATTAGGCGTCCAGCTTGTTTGGCGTGAAGCGAACTTCATTTGTTTTGTAGACAGCCACGTTTGTGCGCGCATTAGGAGGCAGTTTATATGGGTGTTTTCTTTTGGGTATGGGATCATGCCCGTGTTATGAATACCCAGTGTTTTGTCCTTTCATTGGTTCTTAAATCTTCTTTGAACAGCTGATGAATGCCCAAAATATTGGTTCTTGTACAGTGGCCAGGCGTTGGAGAATCCTGTGGTCGCGGAGTGATTTTTCTGTCTTCATTATTTTCTTATAGCACACACCCTGAAGACGGTGTTACCAGGTGCGGGTAGTACAGGTGACTGTAGCAGAGGTTATAGTGACCACAACAAGTGACAAATAGATATATTTCGGCAGCCAACATCTCACAGGATCCGTGACCTTAGTAAACTGATATACAAGATGATGATGTCATGTGTATTAGATAGTGAAAACAAACACGTATTTGAACATATATAAGGATGACAACTTAGGCATCACTAAACCTTTACTAAGATTTCTAAGAGTTCATTTACTTTCCTCATCTTACTTTTAGTAAGATTTAAATACACTTTGATATATATATATATATATATATATATATATATATATATATATATATATATATATATATATATATATATATATATATATATATATATATATATATATATATATATATATATATATATATATATATATATATATATATATATATATATATATATATATATATAATTAATTGTTACTGTGGTTGGAAGGATTTTATTTAATATTACATCAATAATCTTAATTACTGCGTCATGATAACTTTTTGAAGCACTCACCAACTCATTCTTACTGTATTACTCATAATGAAAATAAGATCACATATTCAACTCAAACATAAGGTTGTGCCTCAGTCACGTTACATTATTTCTTCTTATTTCGGTAGAGTCTCGGCGGGGGGGGGGAGATTTTTGTCGTTATGGAGTTAATGTTGTGTTCCGCCGTGAAGTTAGTCAGTTAGTGTCGTTAATACATCTACGGTTTACGAGGAGGATTTAAGTGACGAACTTTTGAGAACCCGGGTCCTGCTGGCCTAGTACGTGGAGGTTAGGTTAGGTTTGTACAACGATGTAAGCTGAAACTGGGGCGATACTGCACTTAACTGCCCTCACGTCCTCAACTGTAAAGCTCGGCACTCATTTACAGTTGGGTTGACCAGCGACATAGAACAGAAGACGAACACTATCATTAAGGACCTCAATACAAAGGTACAAAGGGGACATTACAAAGGTACTCAAACTGTCCAACCAGGGGCGAACTCGTAACAATGGTTTTAAATTAGACAAATTTAGATTTAGGCGTGAAATAGCTAAACACTGGTTTGGAAACATAGTGGATGAATGGAACAAGTTACCAAATATCATCATTAACTCGAATACGCTGAATAGCTTCAAACATAGGTTGGATGCTTATATGAGCAATAGGGGTTGGGTGTAAACGGGACTGCCCAGTATGGGCCAATAGGCCCGCTGCAGTTTCCTCCATTCTTATGTTCTTATGTTACCCTAGCCACAACAACCTTCCTCCCAGAGTCGTGACAGAAGGCAGGGTACAGTGACCTTGCCAGCGGGTCGGATAGTTACCTGTATAATTTGGTGCTTGATTATACCTGTACTTTTATTAAGATGTTGTGAGGTTGGAAGTGTAAGATGTGTATTGTTAGAGAGAGAGAGGGAGGGTCTCTCTCTCTCTCTCTCTCTCTCTCTCTCTCTCTCCTTCAGAAGTGTCAGGTACTTGAGACAGTAACGTATGTGTGTGTGTTTGTCTCCTCAGAGTGATGGAACACGTGCCGGTGGTGACGCGGCCGCTGCAGGACGTCCGCTGTTGTGACGGGGACTCAGTCACTCTGGAGGCCCTAGTGGACGCCCCAAAGACCTCCCTCATACGCTGGGAGAAGCAGGGCAAGGTAAACATACTCACAGTTACTTTGTTCCTTGTTTGTTTGTTTTTTGTTCCTTAAGATGATTTATATTGATTTAAGCCTCTGTCATTGTTATTATCGTTATTATTATTATTATTGCTATTATTGTTATTGCTATTATTGTTATCGCTGTTATTCCTATTTTTATTATTATTATTATTATTATTATTATTATTATTTTTATTATTATTATTATTATCTTATTTTTCCCCCTGTTAAATTACTGGAGTTGTTAAGCTTCTCATATTTACTTTATTTCCCTTGTTATTTTGCCTTTATTCATATTTTTTCTTTCTTAAAACGATTTTTGTAAGTCTCTCATCATTTTATTTTCTTAATCCACCATGTTGACTAATACAGCTGTCTGTCAGGATAATTTTTTTATTTTTTTATTCAGAAGTCTTAAGTCCCTTGGTGGACCGTAAACCCAAACATCAATTGTGTACAATAGTTGTTCCCTTAATACCTGTATACATATGTGCGCTGTATGTGTATTTAAGTTTAGAACACATTTGTGCCATAAGTTGAGATTAGACCATCAATTGCACATGAGGCATTGTACAGTCAAAGAGCCTGTACTGTACATACCCAGGACCTGCCAGCAGTGCACAACAGAGAATTGACTGACCGACAGATTAGCAAACGGGAAAAGGAAAATGAATAATAAGTAGAAAAATAAAGTGGTAGTTAAGGATAAAATGCGACGCAACTTGAAGAATTCTGAGGACTAGTATGTTGGTTCGAGGTGTTGCTGCTACCCAAGATGGAATGTAAATGGCAGAGGAATGAACTTAATGTATCCCAAGTTGGTAATAAGAAACCTAATACCACTTTAACATATTCCAAGCAAGTTTTTAAGAACAGAAACCCGTCGCAATGGTTCTCTATTAATCCTTTAAAAAATAGAGACAGTCTTCATACATCTCGAACCATCATGTGCAGTCAGTTAGTGTTAATGTATCTTGCCTCGTCCTCACTGGGCTGGGACGTGCCTTTGAGATAAATGACGACTGCCCAGCTGGTGATCAGGACGTACGATACAGCATCTCCTTCAGTCCTACAGTCTCTTCCTCTCCCCCACGTGCTGCTGGGTTGTCTGGTTAAGTCCTACAGGCTACAGCCCCGTCCACATCCTGGGTCAGTCATGGTCAAAATACCATGGGGTTATTTTGGCGGGAAGGTGGCAATATGACCCTCCCTCAACCTTCCTCACAGTTGTGTTTGTTTACCGCTGCTCGCCTCACATCCTGGTGTGGAGGAGCCTGAGGCTGTTCCCGCTGGATGTGTAAATAAATCAATCGATGAACCGGAAAGATTAAAAATATCTTCGCTAGTCACAGTTCGACATTTTCAGAGCCATAAAGATATACATCCACGTGGGTTGGGTCATGGTCGTAGTTTGACTGAACCCTCGACTAATAGTTCATAAAATGGTGAAAATTACAAAATGATAACCGTAGCGAGGTGACCTGCTGGTGCACATCACCTGGTGTACTTGGACCCCGATTGTACGTGACTCCCAAGTGTGAATTTAAGAAGTGGAGGCTTAACGACACGTTCCTCCAGGCATACTGTTGAGTTACTCTCGCTCGAATAATCTCGATCACTGATGCCAAATCTTGCTATGTGATAAGGGCCACATTTAATGTGTGATGATGGTCACACTTAATGTGTGATGATGGTCACATTTAGTGTGTGATGAGGGCCACACTTAATGTGTGATGATGGTCACACTTAATGTGTGATGATGGTCATATTTAGTGTGTGATGATGGTCACACTTAATGTGTGATGATGGTCACATTTAGTGTGTGATGAGGGCCACGCTTAATGTGTGATGACGGTCTTATTTAGTGTGTGATGAGGGCCACACTTAATGTGTGATGATGGTCACATTTAGTGTGTCATGAGGGCTACACTTGTGTGATGATGGTCACACTTAATGTGTGATGACAGTCTTATTTTGTGTGATGAGGCCACACTTGTGTGTGATGATGATGGGGGCTACACTTGTGTGATGTGGGCCACAGAGGTGTGATGAGGGGTCACTTAATGTGTAATGAGGGCCACACGATTGTGTGATGAGGGTCACACATTGTGTGATGGGGCCACATTTATGATGAGGGCCACTTAATGTGTGATGTGGGATGTGGGCACACTTATTGTGTGATGTGTTATGATGAGGGCCACACTTAATGTGTGGATGGCCACACTCAAAGATGAGGGAGTGTGATGAGGCACACTCAAAGTGTGATGAGGGCCACACTCAAAGTGTGATGAGGGCCACACTTAATGTGTGATGAGGGCCACACTTAATGTGATGAGGGCCACACTTAATGTGTGATGAGGGCCACACTTAATGTGTGATGGGCCACACTTATTGTGCGATGGGCCACACTTATTGTGTGATGGGCCACACTTATTGTGTGATGGGCCACACTTATTGTGTGATGGGCCACACTTATTGTGTGATGGCCCACACTTATTGTGTGATGGCCCACACTTATTGTGTGCTTTTATCTATGCGAGTGATTTTCAAACACTAGTGTAAGAAGCTGGTGAAGGAGGAGAGAAAGAGAGATGAAGTAGAGGTTGGCGAAAAGTTTATCCCGACGGAGAGGAAAGGTGCAATAGTGGGTGTAAGGTAGAGTAATGTGGGCTGGTAGTGGGTGTAAGATACTGTAATATGGGTGGTAGTGGGTGTAAGGTAGAGTAATGTGGGTGGTAGTGGGTGTAAGGTACTGTAATATGGGTGGTAGTGGGTGTAAGGTAGAGTAATATGGGTGGTAGTGGGTGTAAGGTAGTGTAATATGGGTGGTAGTGGGTGTAAGGGCAGAGTAATATGGGTGGTAGTGGGGTGTAAGGTGGAGTAATATGGGTGGTAGTGGGTGTATGGTAGAGTAATATGGGTGGTAGTGGGTGTATGGTAGAGTAATATGGGTGGTAGTGGGTGTAAGGTAGAGTAATATGGGTGGTAGTGGGTGTATGGTAGAGTAATATGTGTGGTAGTGGGTGTAAGGTAGAGTAATATGGGTGGTAGTGGGTGTAAGGTAGTGTAATATGGGTGGTAGTGGGTGTAGTAGGCGGCCAGCGCGGCGTGGGTGTGGTGGAGTGTCCTCCCTGATCTAAGGTGTTATTGGAGGAGACATACTCGGAATGTGGAACGGAAATTTCATAGCGTGTCGGTGAATATCGGATGTCACCGTAGGCATTGTCACTGAAGGTGCTTCTCATCCCTTACGGCATTAATCGCAAATATTCCGTGTGTTCAACCGGCGATCACCAAGCGAGTTGTGAGTGCTTAGCGGGATGGCTGGTACAGGTGCCAGGTGATAGTGCCAGTGTCGATAGACCTACTTTGGCGGGGGGCCTCTCGCCCCTATGGTCAGTGACAGGCCAAGTGTTCTACGCTTGTGGTCACCTCCCACAAGTAACGGTCACTTCATGTAGTGACAGCCGACCAAGTGAGTATATATAACTAATCTTAAATCAGTGCGACCATAGAAATAATGGTTATTTCTGCCAAGGATATATAAGCAAGTGTTAGGTGTGACAATTCTTGCTCCCAGTGTATCACTCTGATGTGTGGATTGTCGCCCTCAGGGGGGTGGCCTACACACTCACGCGCGCACGTATGCCCCTACTACCCGGACACAGCAGTCCAGCTTGTCACCTCTCCGCCCTTTCCTCATAAGAACTAATTTCTTCTTCTGTATGGGACCAAAGCAGATGTCGTAGGCGGATGTACTGTCGCCCGAAGTGCGGAATACTATGCCGGGTAACAGACATTGTTGCGTCTGTTCTAGCCAGAATCAAAATTGCATTAGCTGTGAAACAACCGATTGACCATGTGTGGTTTGCAGAAAGGGAAACAATTGTCGGAACCCACATGCCAGGGAACCGACACAGGAGGCCACAGTGGGTATCGCCGGGACCCAACCGCCAGATGATATCCTAAATGACAGCAGTGAGTCTACTCCCCCTGAAAATGTAGTACCAATAAACGCTGCTCCAATAATAGCAGATGTCCACGAGGTGAATGGTAGACAGCCACCACAGTGGAATGGCATGTCGATGGAAAATGCCATCGGTTAAAGAAACGTACTCAGAAATTGTCATGTGGTCGCCAGCTAACCTGTTTGAACCACCCAAGTGTGTGACCACCAAAGAAATGATTCGGGAGATGACTCGCCTCATAACCGAGTACACCCAGGACTGCTTCCTTGCCCCTTTAGCTCTTCAAATACTGGCAATAATACCACATCTATTCTGTCAGAGGACACACACAAAGACTAAGCACAAAGAAAATGTAGCAGCAATGAAGAGAAGATTGACAATGTGGCAGAATGGGGCCCTTGATGATCTCTTATGTGAAGCAAGAACACTGCAAGAGAGACTAAAATTTATAAGATACGGAAAGCAAAACACCGATGACGTTGCAAGAAAGTTTGGAAACAAAATGCGTGTGGGAAAAGTGTCTTTGGCGGTAAGATCTCTCACAGAGGAATCCTCCGGTTGGGTGATGCCAATAAACAGAGAGACATTAAAACAACTGAAGAAAAACATGCCCCTGCAAGTGAAGAGGAATGCATCAAGTTCCAGGGTGACTATATTCCACCAAATGCTGTCTTGTTCGAGAAAAAGGCACTGAAAACTCAGGGAAGGACTGGCCCTTCAGGCCTGGATGCAAACGGCTGGAGAGACATCCTCAGCACTAACAAGTTTGGCCCCGTAGCAAGTGATCTCTGCACTGCCATTGCCGCCCTTGCAAGAAAGCTAGCAACCTCCATGTTCTGACGGCCTGCCGCCTCATTCCCCTGGATAAAAATCCAGGATGTTGGCCTATAGGGGTGGGGGAAGTGCTGAGGCGTATGGAGGTTGTAAAGGATGATGTCAGGGTAGCGGCAGGGAACCTGCAAGTTTGTGTTGGCCACCAGGCTGGTGGGGAAGCTACCATTCACGCCATGAGAACGATTTTTGAGCAGCGTGATTGTGAGGCCGTTCTCCTGGTTGACGCTTCCAACGCATTCAACATACTTAACCGCAAGGCCGCACTGCATAACATCAAGATCAAGTGTCCAAGCTTTGCGATGTATGTTGAAAACACCTATAGGAATCCATCAGACCTCTATAGAGTAAGCACCAATGCTCTAAGAGGTGATACCATCATACAGTCAACTGAGGGAACAAGGTAGGGGGACCCTGTTGCAATGACAATGTACGCAATAGGCCTATCCGTGCTCCAACACACAATAAAATTTGAAACAACCGAGGTCAAGCAAGTGGCGTATGCTGACGACCTTACAGGAGTAGGAAAAGTGGAGGTGGTCCACAAATAGGGTACCACCCAAATGCCAGCAAGTCCTTCCTCATTGTGAAGCCAGAACATTATGAAGGGCAATGGAGGTGTTTGGTGGAAGTGAGGTCAAAATAACAAAGGATGGCCAAAGACACCTAGGTGCAGTAATCGGCACGATGAACTTCAAGACTGAGTACGTAATGGGAAAGGTGAATGAGTGGGTTTGGGAAATCCAAGATCTGTCGGATATTGCTAACACATGCAGCTTTTGCGGCATTCACCTATGAAGTCAAGCATCGCTGGAACTACCTGACGCGCACTGTCCCTGGTATCGGACCCCTCCCCCACCCTCTGGAAGAAGCTATCGGCGTCAGTTTCATTCCAAAATTAGTGAAACATCTTCACTTGGCTCCAGCAGAAAGACCACTCCTTGCACTACCACCGAGACTGGGAGGAATGGGATTGACCAACCCAGAGGAGATTGCTGCCAGCGAACATCAAAGCTCAGTTAAGCTCACGGCAGCCCTCACTGACCACATAATAGCTCAGAACGCAACAGGTGAGGTGGATACCAGCGAAGTAAACCAGATTCGACGGTCCATTACGACAGAACGACAGCACAGCCAAAGTGATAAGTTGCAGCAACTGATGCTTCAAGTACCAGAGAATTAGAGAAAAAAAGTAGCTATAGCGCAGGAGGTGGGCGCCTCGAACTGGTTAACTATGTTACCGATAAGGGCAAATGGTTTCAGTCTCAATAAACAAGAATTTACAGATGCCATTGCTCTAAGGTATGGTAGGTCAGTAGAAGGTTTGCCCTCCCAATGCATGTGTGGCTCTTCCTATGACGTCGATCATGGTGTGCAAGAAAGGGGGCTTCATATGCATGAGGCATGACGAAGTAAGGGCTTTCACAGCAAATATGTTGAAGGAAATCTGTCGTGATGTCAGGGTCGAACCGACCCTCCTTCCATTGGACGGTGAGAATTTCCAACATAAGACTTCAAACACATCCAACGAACCCCGTGTTGACGTCAGTGCTCGAGGATTCTGGACGCTGGGACAGCGAGCCTTCTTCGACATCAGGATTTTTGATCCCATGGCTGCATGTCACCATAACTTAGCTCTCGATGCTGCACACAGTTGGAACGAGAATGACAAGATATGGGCATATGGGGAGAGTATTCAGAACGTTGATCAAGGCAGCTTCACTCCTCTGGTGTTCACAACCTCTGGTGGGATGGGACCAAGTGCAAGATGCTTCTATGCCAGACTCGCAGAGGTGCTATCCGAACAGAAGCAACAGCACAGAAATTATGTTACAGCCTGGATGAGATGTCGACTGTCCTTCTCTCTCCTTAGGTCTGCTTTGCTCTGCCTCGGGGGAACGAGAGCATCGGCCCCAAAGCCGACAACAGTTGCAGATATTGACTATGAGGCAACAGTCACTGAATGCCGCATAGATCTGCGGCTCAACTAACTCAACACAGCTACGGTAGCTACTTATGTATTAGGATATTTAATTTTAAGGTAATAAAATGGCGGCGAAAATGTGGCTTTTGGGGGAGGCTGGGGGCCATTTAAAAAATAAATAAATAAATAGGTGTAAGGTAGAGTAATATGGGTGGAAGTAGGTGTGAGGTAGAGTAATATGGGTGGTAGTGGGTGTAAGGTAGAGTAATATGGGTGGAAGTGGGTGTAAGGTAGAGTAATATGGGTGGAAGTGGGTGTGAGGTAGAGTAATATGGGTGGGAGCGGGTGGGGGGTGGTCATTACGGAAGGTGACTCGGCTGGGGCGCAACTGTCTAATTAAACCAATCACAACCTGTGTAATGGGAGAAGATTGGCCACTAATGTCCCTTTACGAGCCTCGCTGACAGATACAAGCTGGGTCACGCCTCGACAATCTCTTCCCATTTGTCTCAACATCCATCACCTGTTGCAGCCTCTCTCCCTCACTCTTACATAGTTACACAGCCACACACCCTTACTCTCGCTGCCCCTTTCACTCACTCTCCCTGGACCTGTGCTACGAGTGTGTACTGTCATTACTCTGTACAGTAAGGGGTAAGACAGACGAAAATAATTATGTTGTGGTAAGAGATGAGTCTGGTTTACACAGATAGAAAAACGAGAGGGGAGAAAATACCACAAAAAGTTAAACAAATGGATTAGAGGAGATGAATGATGCTGAATATCGACTAATGGCAACTCGTAAGAAATAAAGGTGGCAAAGAATGGCGTGTATTGGGAGGCTCATTGAAAAGATTGGGAATAATAAATTATAAATTATACTAAAATCACGTACGGTACTTAAATGTTCGTGGTATGATTACAGTAACTTTTTTTATTCAGACTCTAATTAAATTAATGTCTTTCATTTTATCTAATTTGTACTTTTATATCTTGTATCCCTCAAGGTCTGTCGAGGGTTATGTAAGTACATTTCTTATCTCCCAGTTTGTTGTAGGTGGCCAGTAATGTTATATGTTGTAGACATAAATGAATGTTATAGTTATTGATTTTGGAGATGTTATTAGTACTGTTTTGGTAGACATTATGACTGCCATGGTAGTTAGGTTTGGTAAAAAGTTAGGTACATGTTGTGATGTCCCTCCTTGCTACCCACAACATTGAGGAAAGGCAAAGTTGACAAGTAAATATACGGTGTGAATAATCTAGGGGTTGAAATACGTGGATGCAGCAAGTAAGGAGCACACACATAATAAACACTTATAGTGACAGACAAATTTAAGTTATGAAAGGGATAAGAAGGTTATGAAGTAAACTAAATAATTCAATAACATTTATATTAAGTATTGATTAAGTTAGTTTATTAGGTACATTAAATAAAACAAGTAAAACAAATATGCAATTATCAAAACAAAAGTAACAACTATGCATTTGTCAAAACACCAAAATATTACCCAATTACTCTTACTTTAAACATTAAATACACCTACTCTATACAACAACACAGAAACCTGATAGAAATGGCAGCTCAGGTAGCAAGTCTAGGTTACGATGGTCAACTGCAAAGAACCAGGGATTAACGCCGTAGTTCACTACCTTTAAACCATCACAACACCACCAGCAGTAGTCCTTAATACAATTCGTCGTCCACTCCCCGGGAGAAGAGGAACACCGTAGGCCGTAGAAAAGACTCATCTTACCAGGCAGACACACTTGCTTCGATACCTCGGTCTCATAGTCAGATGGGAAACTGGTTTTGAAACGGTGCTCACTGAGGTCGAGTAGCTTCGTGAAGCAGTTTCTTCTTCTGGTGTCAAGTTGGAGCAAGTGATGGTTATGGTGGTAGAGTGAGGAGTGGACAGTCGCCACATTGTTTCCACTTATAATGTTCCAATTCCATCATGTTGCCTACCTGCTTCCCTATTACTCATCCACGTCATGTGTTAATGTTGTGTCGCGTTGGTCACCCAGGTGCTGAAGCTGGGCGGGGACGTGGAGAGCGAGTGGGACGGGTCGCGGGTGAGACTCAAGATCCGCGAGGTGTACCCGGAGGACGAGGGCGAGTACTCCTGTATCATCTTCAACGACATGGGCAAAGCCGTCACCTCTGCCACCCTCGTCGTCGAGAGTAAGTACTTCCTCTTCTTGCTCCTCCTCTGGTTACCTATCTCCTCGTCTTGATAGTTTTTTTAATTAAAAGTATTTACTCAAACAAGAACACTCATGCAGGAAGAAGGACAGACTTACAAATCACAAACTGGAGTTAGCGAATAACATAATTATATAGAATTAGAGACATAATTATCAGTGCATGGATCTCAACATGAAACTGTGTCTCACCCCTCACAGTGGCTGACGATAAGGAGAACGATGTGACCGTTCAGCTTGAACATCGACCAGACCTCTCCCGCAGGACCACACCCTCCAGGACCAACACACCAACCAGGTTCTCTCGCTCACCCTCCGTCGGGTTCCAGCGTGAGTCACAAGTTTACCAAAGTTATTGCTTCAATATTTACGTTTTCACAAAATAGATTTTTGTTTTCTTTGTTATTTTGATGCGCTCACTATTGTAAATAAAAATGAGTTGTGGTATTGTCTGTTCCTGTGACTGTTATTGGTGGCATCGATAGATGGATAGAAAGAAAGAAAGATAGATAGATAGACCGACCCTAATGAAAATAAACTTTTAACTATTTTCTTGGAATATCTTTGGTTAGGTCAGCTTAATTTTTACCATTGTTTGTATACTTGCACAGATACACTATGTGCACATTGATTCAATGGGAACTTGTATGTGTTTTTTACTGTTTAAATAAAGTACAGTAGTGACATATAAGAACTTGACATTGTATATTCGTGGTACAATAAAAGGCTTACTCTACACCACAAAATGATAAGAAATGAAAATTGTATCTCTCATATCTTAACAAGTAAAGGAAGTTTTGATTATTTATATTTTCACAATTCCTGACAATATCTAATAAATGTTGTCAACTTGTCACTAATCTAATATCTTTTAAATCTAATTTTTCAAATAAATACAATAAGACCACCAATAGGAGCCATATTAGTGGTATAGTAATTGTTTCTAAAATATTATGTTAAGTTGATAAAATACCTTAATATAGATGAGTGTAGTTGTGAGTGTTTGTGTATCGGCTGAGTGTGGGTGTACAGTACAGTACAGTACTTCATACCATGGGTCAGTGATCCAGGCACCGCTGTGTGTTGTTCAGGCCCTCAAAGGCTCTAACGATAAATATTCTTCGCAAGTGAAAGATGTAATTAATTGGCTTATGCTAGAAATCAAAAAGTACTTAAGAAAATAATACCATAGTTACACCGAGATTGAATATATTTCATTAACATCAGACAATATTAAGATATATACAATATTAATAACAAATCACCTAAGTTTTGTCACCTAACTGGTTTTAAGTAAATGTATCTCGTTAAGGTAGAGTCTCGGTGTAATTTTGATGTAATTCTTGTGTTTTAGTTTAAGTTAACCAATTGGGTATAATCTTACATCTCCATTTAAGAGGAATATTCATTGTAGGAACGTTCGAGAATCTGAGTCCTGGCTGTGCTTAGTATAAGTGTTAACGTTAAGCATGTGGAGGAAGGCATCACTGGTTATCACCTCTGTTGGGGTCTTGCAGGTGAAGGAAGCGCTCACTCATGGGCTGGCGTCGGCTGGAGAGAACCCTCCATCAGCGTCTCTCACTGGCGACCTCTCTCCCGCGGCTCTTCTCCCCTGCTCCATGGTTAGCCTTGCTCCCCCCACATCACCACGCCACCAACACACCTCACCACACCTCACACACCAGCAAGCTCTCTCAACTCAACCACACCCTTCTCTACCGACACACCCCTACCACACTACTGTGGTACACCCACACACCCCTACCACACCAATATGGTACACCCACACACCCCTACCACACCACTATGGTACACCCACACACCCCTACCACACCACTATGGTACACCCACACACCCCTACCACACCACTATGGTACACCCACACACCCCTACCACACCACTATGGTACACCCACACACCCCTACCACACCACCATGGTACACCCACACACCCCACCACACCACTATGGTACACCCACACACCATACACCACCCACACACCCCACACACACCAATGGTACACCCACACGCCCCCACCACACCAATATGGTACACCCACACACCCCACCACACCAATATGGTACACCCACACACCCCCTACCACACGCTATAGTACACCCACACCCCACACACACCGCTATGGTACACCCATACACCCTACCACACCAATATGGTACACCCACACACCCTACCACACCACTATGGTACACCCACACACTCCCACCACACCAATATGGTACACCCACACACCCCTACCACACCACTATGGTACGCCCACATGCCCCGACCACACCAATATGGTACACCACACCCCCCACTATGGTACACCCACACACCACTATGGTGCACCCCACACACACACACCACATGGTACACCCATACACCCCACCACACCACTATGGTACACCCACACACCCCCTACCACACCACTCATGGGTACCCACACACCCCTACCACACACTATGGTACACCCACACACCCCACCACACCACATGGTACACCCACACACCCCCTACCACACCAATATGGTACACCCACACATCCCCACACACACCACTATGGTACACCACACACCCTACCACACCAATATGGTACACCCACACACCCTACCACACATAATATGATGCACACAGACAACCCTACCACACCAATATGGTACACCCACACACCCCTACCACACCACCATGGTACACCCACACACCCCTACCACACCAATATGGTACACCCACACACTGGGTACACCACCACACCACCCCCCACACCACCCACACCAATACACGCCCCTACACACCCACCCACACACCACACCAATCACCCCACTATGGCCACCCACACACCCCCCACACCACTGGTACACACCCCTGGTACTGTGCACACCCACACCCCTACCACACCAATATGGTACACCCACACACCCCTAACACACTACACTGTACCCACCCACCACCACACACCCCTACCACACCACTATGGTGCACCCACACACCTAACACACTACTGTGGTACACCCACACACCCCCCTACCATACCACTGTGGTGCACCCACACACCCCTCTTGCACCCACACACCCCTACCACACCACTGTGGTACCCACATGTCACTATGGTACACCCACACACCCCTACCACACCAATATGGTACACCCACACCCCTACACACCACTGTGGTACACCCACACACCCACCACTAACTGTGGTAACCCCACACCCTACCACACCAATATGGTACACCCACCCCTACCACAATTATGGTACACCCACATACCCATACCACACCATTGTGGTACACCCACACACCTCTACCACACTATTGTGGTTCACCCACACAACCTTACCACACAACTATGGTACACCCACACACCCCTACCACATTATTGTGGTACACCCACACGCCCTTACCATACAACTATGGTACACACACCCCTACCATACTATTGTGATACACCCACACAACCTTACCACACAACTATGGTACACCCACACACCCCTACCACGCTATTGTGGTACACCCACACACCCCTGCCACATCACTATGGTATGTCCACACACCACCTCTAGGGCATCACACACACACACACACACACACATACACACACACCAGGGCTGATTCAGGAATATCAAAAGGGGGAGGGGGGTTAAAGAAGTTGTGGGTGGGGGTTAGATGGCGAGTCCAGCACCCTCGGGGAAATTTTGAAATCTGACCAATATTGTGGGCATTTTGTGGTTATATGAATTTGATATTGGGAGATGCTCTGAAGTCAGTAGTAATTACTTTTTTCTGTAAAAAAAATTCTTGAGTACAAATGCCTTAAAGAAAAAGTATTGGAATTTTCTAATGGAAATGGGGGGTCCGGACCCCCTGAACCCCCCTGTACAGACAGACAGACACACACACACACACACACACACACACACCTCCCAGGTTGAGCGGTATTACCCAGACCCCCCCACTTCAACCTTCCTTCTACAAGTCGCACTTCAGTATACAGTAGAAACTCCAATAACAAAATCTTAATAAAAGCTTTAATTCGCAATTTGTTTTCCTTTTTTTTTCGTTGATAATCGGGAAATGATTTAATGAAGACCATTTTACAAGCATGATACTTAAGCGTGCAATATTTCATTTACATACAGTGTCTTGCTGCTAACAGAAAGTACCGTGTGGAGAATTAACCGTGTGCACTGTGTTTACCAAGTCCCGTGAAGTTTGTGTTTACAGATTCCCGAGAAAGCTACACATTTAAAACACTGGTAGGTAGTGCATCATTTTCTATATATTATAATTCACCTAAGTCACAGCGAGCATGGTGAAAATATAGTTATATACAGAAAATTATGGATTATACATTATACTGCTGTGTTTAACGTGTAACTCCTTGAAGGGAATGTGTAAACATGTAGGCACTTTGTAAACACTGTACAACTAATGACTCGATCAACCTTGGCATTACCCAGTGACCGGCGCGTCTACAGTGTCTTAATCTTTCTCTGTTTTCCCCTTATTTGTATTTATTGTTCTCTTATTTTTTGTGCATCCTTGGTAAGTATGCTCGATTTTATACTCATCATATCCTTCTACGCCTTTGACTTGAGAATAATTTTTGTTGATTACTGTTCATTGAAGAATGGTAATATTAGTAGCATTATGCTACTACGGCCATCGGCCGTCTCTTGCATGATTGTGTTCTATAACTTGTGCATGGTTGTGTTGATGCGAGTGTTGTGCAGTGTAATAGTTACAGATTTGAACTATATTAATAAATATCTTCAACCTAGGACAAATCTCGATCATTAGAGTCACTTTTAATATTGTATTCTGATGACTTCGGCCTTGTGTTCGTCTTCAGTATAGGAGCCAAGACCCTGAGGCCAAATTCCCAAAGGTTCTTACGGTGAATGTTCCTTGTAACTGAAGACGCAGATAACTAACTCGGTAACGTAAGCTAAAACATTAAAATAACGCTCCCAAAAAATAAATCCCAAATCACGCCTAGACTTTACCTTAACTAGACATAGTAAATTTAACACAGGTTAGGGGACAAAATGATTTTCCTCCTCAGGTGTCCGGTAGTAAGAGATAGTATTATTTTTAGACGTATTTATTATATTTTAGTATAAAACAATTAGTTATAAACATTATTACGTCTCCGATCATGAGAAATATTCATCATCCTACCAACTTTTTTAGATTCTAAACTCGGTTAAGACTTCTAGTTGAGGCTGGTGAGTGAAGAGGCGTTATCAGGTAATCTCTTGTTTATGATTTATCTTGTAATTATACTTTTAACCTTCCCGTCAAGTAGGAAGAAGCTTGGTAGTTACGAAAGAGAATTGATGAGTGGGATAACTACTAGGGGATAACAATAATGTTAATTTAGTGTTGAATCTCCATGGCGACTGAAGATATACAGAGATATCAGTTCATTCTCTAATCTTCATGGCGACAAATTACGTTAAGTTAATTTACTGTTGAATCTCCAGTGTATCTTATGATAACAGTTATGTGAACCTGAGGAGTGATCTTTATCTGTAAACTTCCCAGATAACTCATAAGATACCAAGATCATAATATAAAACACTAATCACTGACACTTAAAGATATCTCGACTGCTTTGTTATCAAGGTCCTTTGAAGATAGCATTTGAATAACCTGTCAAGCGTGTCATTCGCAATTCCCTAATTAAACCGTGAATATAATCATGTTTTGCTTAGTTTAAGAGTCATCGTAAATAACGTGTGTTAATGTCTGAGAATATCGTTCATTTGTGTTTCATCAGTGTTTTCGTATTTGTGGAAAAAAAAAATCTATCATCTGAGAAAACGGCGAGGTGACATTTAACTAATTCTTGGTCACCATTCTCCCCTGTTCTTTATCCACTCTCTTTTCTCATTCCCTCATCCACTGTTATTTTTCCTTCCCTCATCCACTGTTATCCTTCCCTCCCTCATTCACTGTTATCCTTCCCTCCCTCATTCACTGTTATCCTTCCCTCCCTCGTTCACTGTTATCTTTCCCTCCCTCATTCACTGTTATCCTTCCCTCCCTCATTCACTGTTATCCTTCCCTCCCTCATTCACTGTTATCCTTCCCTCCCTCATTCACTGTTATCCTCCCCTCCCTCATTCACTGTTATCCTCCCCTCCCTCATTCACTGTTATCCTTCCCTCCTTCATTCACTGTTATCCTTCCCTTCATCATTCACTGTTATCCTTCCCCCTCCTCATTCACTGTTATCCTTCCTCCCTCATTCACTGTTATCCTCCCTCCCTCATTCAGTTATCCTCCCCTCCCTCATTCACTGTTATCCTTCCCTCCTTCATTCACTGTTATCCTTCCCTTCATCATTCACTGTTATCCTTCCCTCCCTCATTCACTGTTATCCTTCCCTCCCTCATTCACTGTTATCCTCCCCTCCCTCATTCACTATTATCCTCCCCTCCCTCATTCACTGTTATCCTCCCCTCCCTCATTCACTGTTATCCTTCCCTCCATCATTCACTGTTATCCTTCCCTCCCTCATTCACTTCCTGTCTTTCCCTCACCCACTCTTCTATGTCCTTCGCCCACTCCTCCGTATGCCTCACCCAACTCATCCGACACAACTGTTCCCATAAGTGACTGTGCTCTTCTCCCCGCAGCTCGCCGCCTCACGCCCGAGCCCAGCACCCGCTCCAAGACTCGACGCTCACATGGACCCAAGTTCTACTACATCCCCCACGACCGCATCGTAGAGGAGGGCGAGACTGTCACCTTCCAGTGTGCCGTCAAGGGTATGTGTGTCATTATATATTTGGAAGGTTACAGGTATATCGCCACCTTAAGGGAATGGGTTAGTGTGCAGGGAGGGGGGAAACGACATTTTACTGAGCAGAACCTGTGGTTACGATTCGTTTTAACGCCCCCTTCCCTGTCTCTATAGAAGGAATTAATTTTTTGCCATTTGGACTTTCGATATAGGTTGGGTTACTGACTAATATGCAACTCATGATTGTAAGTGGTTCGGTAATTATGGGGTGTTTTTAGACAGTATTGTACGCTGATTACTTTCATTTTAATTCATTTCCTTGGGTATATGCTTAGTTTTCTGGATAGAGGCGACTTAAGATATACAGTAGGTTTGGTTAGGTTAACATATGATTTCAGCTAGTTTTATATTTTTTCCCAATATAATACAGTATCCTATAATAAAATCAGTGAAAGCTGGGTATTTTTAAACCTATTTTCAGTGAAAAACAGCAGACGGTCAGGATCCGAATTATTACCACATTACCGTTCAACATTCTTGGATAATCATTATTTTGGAGGTACAGTAATGTCTGAAGTTGAATTGTTTACCAAATACTCCTGCGAAAAATCTGCCAAGTCGCCACGTGTCGTCTGTTTGTTTACAACTGACCCACTCAGTACTCTTACGTCTACTAGAAACGTAAAATTACACCATGACACTTAACAAAGTTGCTTTCATTGGTACCAGATATCAAAATAAATTCTTTCTGTTTAATATGGTGGGGGATCCGGGAGCAGAATCCCCCGGCCAAGAATTTAGATAAAGTTAAGTAGGTTTCTTTGGGGTAACATTTTAGTTTCGGTCATCCACTCATCCCTGTATTTAGATATCCAAACTAACCTAACCTAACCTAATGTAACCGAATTAACCTAACCTAACCGGGGTTCGCCCCCTAAACCTTCCTAAAATTCCTTGGATGACCAAAAACTAAAATAATAGCTTCTTTGGTTGGTAGTTCTATATGTGTCTGACATCTAATCATAAATGAGGATTTTCTAAAGAAAATGAAGTGGGCGTGAAAGCTAATCTTTACCGAACCTGTGATGGATGACTCGGAACTTTCAGAGAAACATTCGATGGGTCCAATACCTGTGTGTGTGTGTGATAATAATAATAATAATAATAATAATAATAATAATAATAATAATAATTATTATTAACGGTTTATTGAAAAAGTTCTGCAGCCCGAAGGCTGAAAATAAACATTGGACATAAATGACTTCTTGAATACATTGACATTGGTGGTTTACCAAAAGCCTTCATTAGAAAAAGGTAAAGAAACATACAGTGAACATACAGATTAATGTTTAGAGTGGTCACGTAGATCTTGTGGGCTTAAGTGTTGAACAGCAGACGCGTAGTGTAGTAACTCCTCACAGATGGTGTTATGAGGGGATGGTGTGTGTGTGTGGGTGCGTGTGTTTGTGTGTGTGTGTGTGTACTTGTGTTTGTGTGTGTGTGCTTGTATGTCACTGATAACTTAATATATTTTTTTGTGCTTGGTTTTAAATTGCTGATGTTCACTTAAAAGCACATTGTAGTTTTCTTCTTTAATTGTTTGATGACGGGCTAATCAGCAATTAGTGATTTGTCTGTTTATCAGGGGGAGAGTCAGAGGATAACTTGAAATGTGAGAACTCCTTGGAGAGGCTTTTATTCGCGTCTCCTGTTAGCAACAAACTGCTCACAGACAGCAACAAAATGATGACCCAACTAGGAGTAGGAGCGAGAATTTTATGTGGATGTTACATGACACGTGACATGGAAGGGATAATTATTGCTTAAATGATCATTGCATAATTAACCTAGGTGATGCAAAGAATATGATAGTTATATGTACTTAGACTTCACTTATGTAAATATTACTGTCCATATATTTGACAGAGGTTTATACATGTGGAGGATTCAGAGCGGTGTCTTAGAACCTTTCTTTTTCTTAACCACACTGTTAAGTATGAATGTGTTAAAACATTATAACCTGGTGAACCATTACCAAGGTGACTGATGGTGTGAATGTTGACTTAACAGGATACCCGATTCCGAAGGCGATATGGGACAAGGACTCCATCAGGGTGTTGGAAGACGGCCGTTTCAAGATGGTGGAGAAGGAGGAGATACGGATGTTGGAGATCCCAAAAGTCACCCAACAGGACGCCGGCCTCTACCGCGTCACCATAGAGAACGACCTGGGCCGTGAGCAGGCCACCGCCAGGCTTGACGTGATCAGTAAGTCGCCGAAGCTGTCTAATACTTATTTATATATGTACTGGATTGGAATAAAAGCAGCATTCTGAAAATGTTCTGAGAAAATTTCTAAGATCCTTAAAAGTCTTAAAATTCAAATAATTCTGATATTGGTTAATATTGACGATTAACCCGCCAACGCATTATTTGCCTTTGTTTATTTTCTTACTATATTTTCATCAGTGAGTTTTGATATGATAAACATTTATTGTGAAAATTCTTAGTTTGGTAGAATTAGGCACCTAGGTGCACACTACTTTGTCTTCTCGGCGGTATTTCAGTGACGGTGTCTTACTCCTGGATGTAAATAGCCAATCTTATTGATGTATTTCAAAGCGCTCTGATCGAGACCTACTCTCAGTGTACTCTCAGAGCTGCACGGACCAGGCTGCTACTTTCACATCCACAAAATGCATAAAATTACACCACATCATAGTAATTTTTTTCTGTTTAATATGTTGGGGGTCCGGAGGGTTAAGCGTCATGGCTGGAAGTTAGGTAAGATTACGTTGGTTTCTTTGGTTAGGTTGGTGAGGTCTTCTCAAGCATCGCTTATGCCATCTGTTTTTCTTATCAACAAAGGTTAGGTTGAGTCAAAATTATAAATACAGTAACCACTTTTAACACAATTGCACAAACTACAACAGTGTCCACCGTAAAACACAGTGAAATTGCATCGTTTTTATAATAACTTTCTATGGAAAATCGTTGGCAGGTCAGTCGTCAATAATTACCCTGATATCTTTTCAATATTTCTTACAATATCTTATGTTTCATTATTCTACATTCACAGGAATAAATGACATAAGCACAGGTACAGATACATTCAGGAGCAGTTCAAGCCCAGTATAGTACTGTACTTGCCAGCAGTTCATAACAGAGATGTGACTGACCACCCAAGTGGCTAACTAGCCGATCAGTGGCAGAGGATAAAAGTAAAAGTAAATGAAATATTATTTTCCAAAAATTCTCAGAGGGTCGCGGAGATTTCCACTAATTCAGGATTCAACTTCTTCCCGCCATTTATTTCTCAAACTTATTTATTCATCTTTCATATTTATTTAGCAGAATTATAAAGTAGTGGAAAACGTGTCAAAGAAAAATCCAAACCCTTAGTACAAGTAAATTTAAAAAAATAAAAAATAATACTTTCAGATCCCTGAGTTGGAAGAATGGCTTTCAGTAATATAAAGTTTTGAGTTCTTTCAAACATAGAGAAAAATGTATACAAGTTATTATTCAACTTAATTAAAAATTATAAACTTGCTCACACAGGTGCCCATATCTCAGTATTTTTTTTTTACCTTTACGTTTTACGTTTATCCTCTTCGCTACTGATCGGCTCGTTAGCCACTTGGGCGGTTGGTCATGTCTCTGTTATACACTGTTGACAAGTACTGGGCATGTACTGGCTTCAGACTGTATCTGTACCTGCACCAATGGTCAAGTCTGGTCTTGAATGAGCTCACACTCGGTGCCATCACAACACTCTCTTACACAGTGTTCCAAGAGTTTACGATTCTAACTCTTAAAAAGTTTGCCCAAACAATTTTCTGAACTTACAGCTTCTTCAACCTTTAACTGTGATGTGACCCCTTGTGGGGCGGGCATCTGCCAGCTCCAGGTATGAACACTCGTGCAGAGTAATCCCCTACGAGATGTTTATAAACTTCAATTAAATCACCCCTCACCCATCTACTGTATAGTAGAAGCTAAGCAATTGCAGGCATTCTAATGAAGTCATATGCTTTAAACCTGGGGAAAAAAATACATGTCCACATAACTATGTCATATGAAATCCACTAAATAGCCCATGAGGAATAAAAATTACCTCACTACAATACAAATACAGTATAACAAACACACAGTCTTACACTCTCAGCCACATGATCTATTACCTGTGCGACAAACGCTATCCTGTCATGTTCCCACAGAAGCGACAGGTAATAAGTACAGTGGTTATGTGAGGTCGTGGTATTCGTCCCCGCTGACAGCTCCCCGCTTCACCCGCACCATGGCCTCCACCACCATCAGGGAGGCCTCCAGGATACGTCTCTCCACAGAATATCGCGGCTCACCCACGCCCAGGGCCAAGTGGTACAGGTGAGTCCTCTCTAGGTGTGTGGGGAGGCAGTGAATGTGCAAGTATGAAATGTGAGAGTTTTTGTGTATGTGTGTTGGGAGGGATTGAGTTTGGGAGTATGCAAGATGAGGGTGTTTGTGTATGTGTGTTTGGGGAGGCACAGAGAGAGAAACAAGAGGAGAAAGTTTCAAATGTGAATTTTGGAGAGACGGAGAGTGAGTTTGAAATATATGGAAGTTCGTGTTTATCTTTATGCGTGCGTGACAGCCTGATTGTATTTAAAAGCGAGAAGCCTATGCAGCTTGTTACCAGTACTTGTCATAAAGTGTTTAAATAACTTTTGACATGTTTCTGTCAACTTGTAGGCGGCGCCATACATCACATTCACCTTGATGTTGGTGGTCAAAGAACGTTCAGACTCTCCCCCATCCCCCCATAGACATACCTGTGCTAACATACCTCCGGTGTATCACCGACAGGAACAACGAGCTGCTGCCTCTGTGTGAGGAGTTCTCGCAGACCTACAACGGGAAGGAGGCCACCCTGGAGATCCCCTCAGCCACGGCGGCCGACGCTGGTACCTACACCTGCGTTCTGATCAACGACGCTGGAAAGACCGAGTGTTCGTGTGAGGTGAGTCTTCTCCACTGTCCACTCCTCCATCTGCTTCAGCCGGCATTTTAGGTTATGTCATTGTTGTCATGAGCACTGGAATAACTCAATTAAGATTATTCAGAAATTGGGAGAATGTCAAGTGATTTCTCAGTATTCTATACACTCGTTTACCGCCCTCACCAACCATTATGAATCACGTCAATACTGGGAAAGTACTGTACCTCAGCTTTGGTTCTTAAACACATTTCAGTGAAGGTTTTTATCAACCTACAATGTTATTATATCCTTCTTCCACCGTATTTGAGAAGTTTAGTTTAGGTCAAGGTAATATTACTGACAGCTATCTGGGATACCCGCCTTCCTAACGAATATCTATAAAAGAAAAGTAATTTCTTACCTCGAAAATACAAATCACATAAATGAATTTCAAACTTTGTATTTTTTCCAAGATTTTCTCGTAAATAAAGCTGCTCCGAGCCTTGTTATGCCAAACATTACCTAGTTGACGAACACTATCCAATGACAAGTGTCTCGCAAAACATCTTGCACCGAAAAATCAATTAAGTTTACTTTTATTTTTATCCTCTTCGCCACTAATGGGCTCGTTAGCCGCTTGAGCGGTCGATCACGTCCCTTACACACTTTTGGCAAGTACTGGGCATACACTGGCTCCCGAATGTATATGTACCTGCTCCAGTGTTGGTCAAGTCTGGTCTTGAAAGAGCTTACACTCAATGCCGTCACAACACTTTCCAGGGGCGTATCCACAAGGGGTTCAGGAATCCCCTTTTCCTCAGACAGTTCCAATACCTTCTCTTTAATGTAGATGGTACTCAAGCATTTTTGTATAGTAAAAATTAATTTCTATTGACCTCAGAATATTTCCTAATATCAAGTGGATATGGCTTCAAAATGGCTTCAAATTGCCTATGATATTGGTTAATATAAAAAAAAATTCTGGGTGGGGGGGGGTTACAGCCCCCCCCTCCCCACGCCCCAGCTGGGTGGGCTTCCTGCATCCGCCATATTCCCCCACCCACAACTTCTTGGACCCCCTTCCTTTTGATATTTCTGGACCCGCCCCTACTTTCTGGAAGAGTGTTCCTAATTCACACCCTGAAAATGTTTGCCCTCGCAATTTTCTGGACTTGTGGCTTCTTCAACCTTGAGCTGTGACCACTCGTGGGGCGGGCGGGCATTCGCCAGCTTCAGATATGGACACTTGACTGAGTAGTGCCCTCTGAGATGTTTATGCACTTCAATTAAGTCACCCCTTGCCCCCCTCTGTAATATAATCTAGGCAGCTGCATGTTATCTTCCATTTACCTGTTGTAATCACTGATGAATGTCCTGGAGATTTAGCTCTAGAGGTATACTGGAAGTAACACTAATAAATGTTTTTGGGTTAAGTTGCAAACCCAAATGGTCTTTTCTCCTATACATTAAGAAAATAGAATATGCACAAATAATTTCGGATATCATCGTAGTTAAAACTATGAGCGAAGGCCATTTGGAAGACAATGGGATTATGTGACATACATCACTAGACATTTGCTCATAGTTTAATTACCGTGGGTGTAGTAATTATATTAACAAAATACATGTAGCCCAAATTTATATAACCATTACTGTCTGTTAGACAGAGGCTAATACATGCAGGCGTTCTATTCTCTCTGGATAACTGAGGTGCCATAGTGCACAGTGCAGGCACCAGTTTGGTGGCCCTCCTTTGGACATTTTCAATCAACTGACAGTATTCCAGATGGGGAAGCACCTCACACTTGAAGACCGTTATGGGGGACTAACTGTCTAGATATGAGATAGAACCTTCTTGTAAGACTTACTAGTTTAGGCACTTGATTCCCATTCTTCTCCCAATGACCTGTGACTTCAATTCGTTGTCAACATACACACACACGTCTTTTTCACATTCGGTCTCTATTAATGCAGTTTCTGCGTCTCGTTGGAACATGTGATGTGCCTCCATTTGTTCGACCACTCTTGAAGCTGACAGATCGTTCTGTAGCTCTTCACAGTCTGTTTGGTTCTTAATTCCCCTGAATAACTTGGCATCGTCCGCAAACATTTGTACGGAGGAGTGTATAGCTTCTGGCATGTTATTTATGAAGAAAACAACAACAACAACGGGACCAGTATACTGCCCAGTGGTACCTTGCTTGTCATGGGTACACAAGACGATTTCGTGCCATTAATCACCACACACTGCTTGCGGTCATGCTAGGACACTTCCCGAATCCTGTACCCTTCCAGTTTAATTTTTCGCCTTTCATGGGGTACACTGTCGAAAGCCTTGGTAAAATCTAGATATATATTTGTATTGTCGATATTACCTCCTTGTTCCAGAATCTGAGTCCAAACATTCAGTACCTTGAGTAATTGTGTTAAGCTGAAGCGTCCCAGCATAAAACCATGTTGGGAATCCTTTACAAGGTTGTTTCATTGTAAATGTTCCATCATGACATATCTTATGATGCTCTCTAGTACTTAAGAACCAAACAGACTGTGAAGAGCTGTAGAAAGATCTTTTGAGCTTCAAGAATTGTCAAAGAAATGACTGCTAAGTTTCAATGTCACGAAGTGTAAGATTTGCACCTGGGTTGTACCAACGGTAAGGAGTCGTATCACTTGTCCTAACAGGACGGAGAAACTGCATTAATATAGACTGAATGTGAAAAGGCCCCGAGTGTGTATGTTGACAATGAATTGAAGTTCTCGGGCCAGTGTGAGAAGAAGGTGAATCAAGAAACTAAATTATTAGATCTTACATGAAGGTCGTTCAGATATCTAGATGGTTCATCCCTCGTAATAATCTTCAAGAGTGAGGTGCTTCCCCGACGGGAGTACTGTCACCCCATCTGGTCCCTGAGATATGCTAGGGACTGTCAGTTGATTGAAAATGTCCAAAAGAGGGCTACCTGACTGGTGCCTGCAATTAGAGATTAGAGCTCCTGCAATTGCCTAGGTTATATAATACATGCAGGCAAGGGGTGACCTAATTGAGGTGTATAAACATCTCAAAGGGCACTACTCAGTCGAGTGCCCATACCTGGAACTGGCCGACGCCCGCCTCACAAGGGGTCACAGATCAAGGATGAAGAAGTTGCAAGTCCAGAAAACTTTGAGGGCAACCTTTTTCGGAGTGAGATTTGTGAACTCTTGGAACAACCTGCCAGAGAGTATTGTGACGGCACCGAGTGTGAGCTGTTTAAAGACCAGACTTGACCAACACTGGAGCTGGTTCAGATACATTCAGGAGCCAGTATATGCCCAGTACTTGCCAACATTGAGTAACAGATACGTTAGCCCGAGTGGCTAACGAGCTGATCAGTGGCAAAGAGGATAAATAAAAGTAATGTGTAAAGTTTTTCTCTTTCATCAAACCATTATTACGAAACTTGTGAATTATTGTCTTGTTTATATGTACAGCATACTTTTAATGTAAGAAAGAATTTATCAACAAAATTTCTCAAGTTGTTGTTTCTTAATATTTAAAAATGGAAGTGTTACTGAGTATGAAACGTTCATTCTCACATAAACAGTTAAAGCGAAAAAATATATGGCGTCATCGCGTGGTAAGTAGCGTCTTTATATACGGCAGAAAAAACGGGAAAAACAAAATCCCGAAAGTTTAATACCTTTCCCTAGTTTGGTTTATTTTTTTAGAATTTTTTTTTCTTCAATATAAATTTCTCAGATATTTGGGTAACCCAGACCCCTGTCAGTAAGTGATACCGTCTTGTCCCAGAGACTCATTGGTTGGTGATCATGTGGGCATGCCGGTGAGAACTGATTGTAATAAGTGTTGGGTGTTGTGCAGGTGATGGTGGAGAACCACAAGGAGATGGCTGACCAGCCACCTTACTTCCTCAGACGGCTTCAGGATCTGACCGTCCTTGATGGTGATGAGGTCAGACTCACAGTCAAGCTCTCAGGTGAGTAAAAGGTGCCAGGGTGTGTCACTACTGTTGTTACAGGTGCCAGGGTGTGTCACTACTGTTGTTACAGGTGCCAGGGTGTGTCACTACTGTTGTTACATGTGCCAGGGTGTGTCACTACTGTTGTTGCAGGTGCCAGGGTGTGTCACTACTGTTGTTACATGTGCCAGGGTGTGTCACTACTGTTGTTGCAGGTGCCAGGGTGTGTCACTACTGTTGTTACATGTGCCAGGGTGTGTCACTACTGTTGTTACAGGTGCCAGGGTGTGTCACTACTGTTGTTACATGTGCCAGGGTGTGTCACTACTGTTGTTGCAGGTGCCAGGGTGTGTCACTACTGTTGTTACATGTGCCAGGGTGTGTCACTACTGTTGTTGCAGGTGCCAGGGTGTGTCACTACTGTTGTTACATGTGCCAGGGTGTGTCACTACTGTTGTTGCAGGTGCCAGGTGTGTCACTACTGTTGTTACATGTGCAGGGGTGTGTTACTACTGTTGTTGCAGGTAGGGGTGTGTCACCACTGTTGTTACATGTGTGCCAGGGCATGTCACCACTGTTGTTACAGCAGGTGCCAGGGTGTGTCACTACTGTTGCAGTGCCAGGGTGTGTGTCACTACCAATTTGTTACGTGGCTGCCCAGGGTGTGTTATTGCTACTACTGTTGTTGCAGGTGCCAGGGGTGTGTGTGTCACTACTGTTGTTACATGTGCCAGAGTGTGTCACTACTGTTGTTGCAGGTGCCAGGGTGTGTCCTACTGTTGCATGTGCCCAGAATGGCCTACTGTTGTTGCAGGTGCCAGGGTGTGTCACTGTTGTTAGAAAAGCAGGGTGTGTCACTACTGTTGTTGCAGTGCCAGGGGTGTGTCACTACTGTTGTTACATGTGCCAGGGGTGTGTTACTACTGTTGTTGCAGGTGCCAGAATGTGTCACCACTGTTTGTTGCCATGCCAGGTGTGTCACCTGTTGTTACAGGTCTTGGGGTGTGTCACTACCTGTTGTTGCAGGTGCCAGGGTGTGTCACTACTGTTGTTACATGTGCTGGGGTGTGTTACTACTGTTGTTGCAGGTGCCAGGGGTGTGTCACTACTGTTGTTACAGGTGCCAGGGTGTATCACTACTGTTGTTACAGGTGTCAGGGTGTGTCACTACTGTTGTTACAGGTGCCAGGGTGTGTCACTACTGTTGTTACAGGTGCCAGGGTGTGTCACTACTGTTGTTACAGGTGCCAGGGTGTGTCACTACTGTTGTTACAGGTGCCAGGGTGTGTCACTACTGTTGTTACATGTGCCAGGGTGTGTCACTACTGTTGTTGCAGGTGCCAGGGTGTGTCACTACTGTTGTTACAGGTGCCAGGGTGTGTCACTACTACGTTGTTCTACTATCCACGGTTGAGATGTCTAAAGGTTTAATGGGATTTGTTACCAGATTGTTCTGTTTTATTTAAAGAGTGTAAACCTTGCAGAGTAGTGAAGCTGTTTGAGAATCACTTAGGAAGCAGACCATCCGAACTATGTTGGGTCGTGAGGTAGGTTTAGTTGACTTCTGTGGTCTGCTTCTCAAATATCATTCAAACTAGTTTTTGCTTGTTGCATCACCAGAGTTTTTTATATGGATTAATGTAATTGTATAGGAGAATATGCTGTCAGACTTTAATTGGAAATAAAATCATCACGACCACCACCGTTTTACGACCATTATCTACACTTGTATGAATTAGCTGTGCTTACCTAATGGCAGCTCTCCATGCTGCACGGTCTCTTGCAGTCTCTCTATTCAGGCTCCTAACTCAAATGGTATTTCTTACAACCTCCCTCTCTGTTATTCTCTGCCTACCGTTGGTTCTCCTCCCCTCCACATTTAGACTCGTGCACCTCTTGACCCAATTGGTCTCATCCGTTCTCTCCACATTCCCAGATCATCCCAACCTCTACACAGGAGGACTTTGCCAATATTTTCACTACTCATTCGCCCGTTTAGCTCTGAACAGGGCCTCCTGTCTTTCAGTGTCATCCACCTCACCATTACCATTACAGCTCGCTCAAGTCTATTTATGTCATTGTCTTTAATTTCCCATGTTTCACTGACACACAACATCACACTTCTCACACCAGTTGCACACACTCTTCCTTTCACTTGGAGGGAAGGTCCTCTTGCTGCCATTAAAGGCAGCAGCCCCCGAATCATCCTTCAGCTACTTCTGGACTAGATAAAAAAAAATTCTGAATTTCAGAATGTAATAGTATGGAAAAGTTGCTCCATGTGATAGGTAATCTACACGCAAAATATTGTTGCATGTAAGTATTCATGATCACAATTTCTCCAATTTGGTCACAATTGACACGTCTACATCATCACCTGAGGCTTTAGTACTTTCAGCATTTCTCCAACAATCCCAGAACTTCCAGCCGCTTTTTCATTCTCCATTTTGTCAATTGCTTTCTCCACCCATTCTCTTCCAATCCATGGTTCTACTGCCACTAGGCTGTCATTCATACTCTCCATTCAGTAATCGATCGTACTATTTTCTCCAGGTATCCTTGATTTCCTCGTTATCAACAACCATGATTATTTCTCACACTGTTCACCAACAACATACATGTTTCTACCCATTATTTTCCTGGTTATTCTGAAAACCTTTCCTCGTGCGTCTGCACTATTCAACATATCCTCTCTTCTTGCCCTATGCTTGGCCTCCATGTAACCCTCATTTTTATCACTCCTCTTCCAGGCCTTATACAATCTTCTTTTCTCCCTTATCGCTCTATCTATTGCATGCCTGGCTGGGCCCTTCATCCAACCAGACGTCTTGTTAGCTGCACCCAACAGAACATCTTTTATTTTGGCCTCGTCAACTTGGTACACTATCTTTCTCACCGGATTTTTCTACTCTTCTCAATTCAATGTAAAATGCTTCTCTTACATTCTGTCCCTTCACTCACCACACACACCTTTTAAACAATATGTCACACAAACAATCTGAGCTACAAGGCACATTCTTCCCCTGCTATAACAAGCTTCCTATCTGATTTGCTAACGAGTAAGTAACCAGTCTGTTTTTGTTCCACCAAACTCGTACGTTATCGATTTACTCACCTTTTTCTTGAACATCGTGTTGAATACAACCACTGTATGTCCATTACATGTCCGTTCTCAAATATTCTTTCTCCTTCAATATTTCTTGTGCCATAGCCTTTTCCATCATGCATACCTTCATTATCCTCAATGTGTGTCCCGACTTAACCATTAAAGTCACCACCCAACACTATGATCTATCTTTCAACCAGCTCTAACACAACATGCAATAATTCATCGCAGAACTCATCCTTCATTTCTTTACTTAGCCCAACTTGTGGGGTATTGCAGAAAACTCACCATCAGATCCCTTTCTGCTCGCACTTTCTCTGCACACCTCCTCTAGATTCACTCCCCTTCCAGATTATCGTGTATCTGTATCTATCAATCTTACCGTCCAGTGATCATTCTTATTAAACCAGTCATCAGGCTTTCTGTGGCTCTGTCTCCACAGTCTCGCTTGCTCTTCCATGCATCGTATCTACAGTTAGACTACCAGCTCTGAATCCAGTTATGTCAGGTTCCTTTTTTGATCACGTGAAGTTTCTTGTCTTTCATTCATGTGGTGTGTGGCTAGTTTTAGTGTGGCAGGTTTATGTTTATTCATTAAATTATTTGTGATGGTTGGTGTTAAGAGTTGTGTAACAACCAGAGTGGATTCAGGGCCATCCATTAGTGTGCAACATGTCATAAAGCTGGCTTTGATATTATGCGCTTAACGATGAAGCAACCACACGAGCTTCTGTATGTACTCTCAAAAGAGTACCAGCCTGTAAAACACTCACCTGGCACCACCTGTGCAGACAATGGACTAAATTGAACATTAAAGTATTTGGCTTCTCACTGTTTTGTTGACTGTAGTAGTAATAGCTATTAAATGCCTCAATAACTCACCATAGCATTTTTCTTTCAGGTGGGGCTGTAAATTGTATTTTAGAATGTTAACTTCATGGTCAGATTTTGCTAAAGCTCTTAATTTATACACATTGACAACATTAGTCTGGACTCACGTATTCAACCAAACCAAACTTAACTTATTTAACTTAGCATATTGGACTAAACTAATAACATAATGGTCTAAACTTTTAGTATAATGGTCTAAACCATAAGCATAATGGTCTAAGCTGTTAGCATAATTGTCTAAACTAGGCTTTTTTATAGTTAGGTTAATTGGTTAATTAAGTATTATAATGCGCCCATAACTACACTCTTCTCTGTACAACTTAGAACTTACCATTACGACTTGTTCGATGAGGGGCGTGTTATAATCTGGTGTGTGTTGTGTGGCAGGGTCACGACCGATGAAGGTGGTGTGGGTCCGTAATGACCAAGAGATCCCCGACTCCCAGGACTTCCGCTACGAGGAGGATACCAGCGGCAAGTTTTCGTTGCTGATTCGTGATGTCTTCCCTGAGGACGCCGGCGTCTATATCTGCGAGGCTTATAATGCTCATGGTGACGCCCACTGCTACTGCAGACTCACCGTCCATGGTAGGCAGCAAGGCCAAGATGACCTTGGGTTGGGTTGTGACGCTTTCTGTAAAAAAAAAAGGTATAACCACGATGAAAGTTTAATCACAGACTAACACTGTCATAGTGGCCATGTAACCTGGCATACAAGTTCTTCCAAAAATACTAGTTGTTCCAATTAATTTATTTTATATGAGTGCTGTGTGCAGCCAAATAGAATGTCAACACATGAAATTAAATCCTATTGTGTTCTGCAATTAAAAAGTAACATAAGTCATAACAGTCAAGACAAGGGCAGCAAAGAGAGTCAACAACGTCAGTATATACAAACCATCCCAGAAATATACAACTTTTCAAATTTGATATATTAGTTATTATGGGCAAGGCGACAGGTCGAATTTTCTGGGACCTTTAATCAGTCTTAATAGTTTGGACGCCCGCCCCAAAAGGGGTCACAGCATAAGGTTGCAGAAGCCACAAGTCCAAAAAACTATCAGGACAAACTTTTTCGGAGTGAGAATTGTAAACTCTTGGAACAACCTGTCTGAGAGTGTTGTGACGGCACCGAGTGTGAGCTTTTTCAAGACCAGTACTTGCCAACAGTGCATATCAGAGACGTGACCGACCGCCCAGGCGGCTAACGAGCCGATCAGTGGCGAAGAGGATAAAAGGTGGACTAGAACATAACAGCTCCAAATTCACCAGTTGTGTCTGATAATCGTCGCCTCTGTTGGTAGGTTGTCTTTAGGCTAATGTCCATATTGGTGGGAACAGCTGTATACAATACGAAATAAGACTAATTAACTCAAAACTGCGCAATTTAAATTACATATTAATGAAACTGTGAAACACTAATAACCAAAACCTGGCAAGACTATTCGCTTCGAAATATTTGTGATGTAAAATTAAAAACCATAACACCGAGTCAACAGTTACTCCTTAGTTCTTATTACACATATCCTGGTTCTTATCAGTGACAAGCCAGTGAGATTAAGTGTATGATAGTGAGGAAGTGAAGCTCAGGGTCATGCCAATACAGTAGTCTTGTGGCTGTACTGTGGTCCGGAGTGGCAGAGTAGTCTTCCCAGCTTTATTTGACATCAAGTGTTATGCAATCACATCCTCAAGGACTTGCTGCCACCATTTACTCCAACGTGATAATTACTTTGTATTAAGAAGTAAATTTAATGTATTTAAAAAAAATCAACACATTGTTTTATTTCCAGAAGTGTTGTTAGTAAGTGCCATCTCAGAGTACCTCTCAACCTCGTAATACAACAGACGTGTAATCAGCGTATTACTTGTATATCATTTTAAGCTCAACTGATATTTCATCCATTTATAAGAAATTTTAGTCCTTAAATAATTGTCTTAAAAAATATTTATTAAAAGAAAAATGTCAATCTATTAAATCTTCACTTAAGTTAAAGTTCATTGAGTAATCTTGGTTGTGAGCGAAGTAAAGTGTGTGAACTGAGTTACGTGTGATTAAAAGTTGACTATATTAAAAATTATGGTAAAAACATGTAATTATAGATAAAGGAATATATTGCTGGTACAGATCAATATATATATAATAACTAATATAGATAAAAATATATAATGTATATCAGTGGTACAGAGAAAAATACATACAGTATATCATTGGTACAGATCCCCGCGCAGCCCAGTCTAGTGCTCCGCGGGTGGTGGGCTGTCTCACGCCCCTGGAAGTGGAGGAGGGAGCTGCTGCCAGGTTCTGTGTAGCTGTGCATGGCTCCCCGCAACCCACCCTCACATGGTACTGTGATGGCCGTAAGCTGACTCCTACACCCAGGATCAAGGTATATCACCACCACTACATAGAGGGAGGGGATCACCATAGGTACAACAATTTTTATAGATATACTGTAGTATAATTATTAGTGTATATGTTAATAAGTATAACATCACTTAGAAGCAGTGAACCATATACAGAAAGTATATGCTGTACATAAAACATTTAATTTTACCAATACATTACAAATGCAAAGGTTTTTGTTCACTTAAGCCTCAACTGTTCACATGTAACACAGTGACTGGGTTCAATGGCACACACACACACACACGCACGCACGCACACACACACACACACACACATATATATATATATATTGCAGGTTATAGTATAAAATCCTAGCTAGTGACGTGGACCAAAACACTTACATTATGTCATAACAACATCAAGATATTATCCATCAAAGAGGAGCCTCAGAGTCTTAACATTATAGCACTTGGGGTATATTGTTGACACTTGGGGTATATTGTTGACACTTGGGGTATATTGTTGACACTTGGGGTATATTGTTGACACTTGGGGTATTGTTGACACTTGGGGTATATTGTTGACACTTGGGGTATATTGTTGACACTTGGGGTATATTGTTGACACTTGGGGTATAATGTTGACACTTGGGGTATATTGTTGACACTTGGGGTATATTGTTGACACTTGGGGTATATTGTTGACACTTGGGGTATATTGTTGACACTTGCAGTATATTAATAGCACTTGGGGTATATTGTTGACACTTTGGTATACATACATATTGCAACTTTACTAAATTAAAATATCATGGCATCTTTGACCCTCAGACACAAACTCTTAATGTGATGGAATTGTTTTTGTTATTCATAAAAATCATTATCTTTTTAATGGGATTTACCACACTTGCATGGAGAAAGATACAAGAGTATTTACATGCAAAACAATCTACAGGAAATTATCCCGAGCGAGCAGACCAGTTATACTATGTTATCTTCCTCAAACATGACTTTGAGGGTAGTGTAAATTATGTAACTGATTTATACTTCTCTCTTACCTTTATCTAGTTTATGTGGAGTCATAAAGGTTGATTCATCAACTCTGTTTTAAGCTCTGAGTTGTAAGCATAAATGTTTTTGTATGACAGAAAATATTAGTAATGTCAGGAAAGACAAGAATTGGTCTGGCTCTAAATGCAGCCACGTACACCATAAACTGACCTTCATATTATATTTTGATGGTGACAGGTGGAGATGGATGATGACGTGAGTATTGAGGAGCCGGTGCCTCATACCCTGGGTATCCTTCACTCCCTCTCTACAGACTCCGGGGTTATCTCCGTGGTCGCTGAAAACTGTCTCGGGTCAGACACCGCGTCCACCACTCTGAAGGTCAGTATTAGGGAGCTTCCTGTGTCATGAGTGAAGCCCCTGTGTTATGAGTGAAGCACCTGTGTCATCTGTGAGGCCCCTGTGTCATGAGTGAAGCCCCTGTTTCATGTGTGAGGCCCTTGTGTCATGAGTGAGGCCCCTGGGGCATGATTGAGGCCCCTGGGGCACGATTGAGGCCCCTGGGGCACGATTGAGGCACCTGTGTCATGATTTGAGTCTCCTGGGGCATGAGTGAGTCCCCTGGGGCATGAGTGAGGTCCCTGTGTCATGAGTGAGGCTCCAAGGACATGGGTGAGACCCTTGTGTCGTAAGTGAGGCTCCAAGGACATGGGTGAGGCCCCTGTGTCGTAAGTGAGGCTCCAAGGACATGGGTGAGGCCCCTGTGTCGTAAGTGAGGCTCCAAGGATGGGTGAGGCCCAGTGTCGTGGTGAGGCTCCAAGAACATGGGTGAGGCCCCTGTGTCGTAAGTGAGGTTCCAAGGACATGGGTGAGGCTCCAAAGACATGGGTGAGGCTCCAAGGACATGGGTGAGGCCCCTATGTCGTAAGTGAGGCTCCAAGGACATGAGTGAGGTCCCGGTGTCATGAGTGAGGCTCCAAGGACATGGGTGAGCCCCCTGGGTCATTGGCATGGCTTCTGGAATCTTGGGTAAGGCCCCTGGGTCACTAAGTGAAGCCCCTGGGGCATGAGTGAGGCCCCTGGGGCATGGGTGAAGCCCCTGGGGCATGAGTGAGGACCCTGGGGCATGAGTTAGGCTCCTGGGGCATGAGTAAGGTCCCTGGGTCATGAGTGAGGCCCCTGGGTCATGTGTGAGGTTCCTGGGTCATGAGTGAGGCCCCTGGGGCATGAGTGAGTTCCCTGGCTCATGAGTGAGGTCCCTGGATCATGGGTGAGGCCCCTGGGCCATAAGTGGGGCCCCTGGTGCACGAGTGAGGCCCCTGGGTCATGAGTGAGGCCCCTGGGTCACGAGTGAGGTCCCATGAGTGAGGCCCCTGGGTCACAAGTGAGGCCCCTGGGTCATGAGTGAGGCCCATGGGTAATTGGTGAGGCCCATGGTTATCAGGGAAGAGCCCTATACCAGGTTATATCACTCAAGTGGAAGTAGAGACTATAAAATAATGGCCAAATATCTCATTGTTTTTAGATGAATTAAACTACTTAAATATTACATCATGGAGTGCACGGTCGAGTGGACATAGCTGTCACCTCCTGATCCATGGGTCAGTGGTTCAATACCCAGACACTCCTAGTTCACCCAGCTGGAAATGGATACGTACGTTTACAACGTAGGGAGTGATTGCTAGTCGAGTGTAGTGAGGCTATGCTGCTTCCTTGTGTACCAAAGGCTTAGTATACAGTATCTATACTGTGTCTCATGAGCAGTCATGTCTATGGGACCCACTTTCAATATTACATCGATCTAAATAACATGTATATCATATAATTTCTTGTATACTGCAGGTGCAACCATACACTCCCAGGCGGACTGAGCAGGGCCAGACCTCCTCGGGTAGTTCCTCAAGCGTCAGTGCCGCCAGCAATGGCTCATCCACAGCCACGTCACTTCTTACCTCCACATCCCCTGCTCCCAGGATAAGACCCATGTTGAAGGAGGCAAGTTATGTTACCTTATGTGTTGAAGGTGATGGTTATGTCTGGTTTGTGTGCTAGTTGAAACTTGTCGAGAGTAAAGATGAATATATTGGTTTTGGTGAAGGAACTTACTGATTATGATGACCCGCTGAGTTCAGTGGTTAACTTAAAGTGCAGTTATGGGGGAGCCTTTGTGGGTGTTATGTTTATATAAGTTTTTAAGTCGATCAAAAAGTCCGAATGCTCGATGGCGTGACCTGATGAGTGGGATGATCAGCCTGAACTAAATGGTTTAGTGCAATATCAATGACAAATTACTGTCACACAGTTATTTTTGTCAGTACCGTACTCTTATGTAAATCAATATTTGATGTATAACATGATGTCTCGACTCAAGGGAGTTCTGTGGCATCAAAATTACACCCTTGACCTGCATTTAATAATGTTTACCGAGGGAGGAACAGTGTAAGACATTAACTTATTGCTCACTCCCTTGTTTTAAATTTTTTGGGGGGATTTGCCCACCAGGGCACAGGTCAATGACCCACATCAGGGCCTGGAGGCGAAAATATAATAATATTATGTAAAATTCTGATATGAATTTGCAAGGTGGTTCAATGGAGTAACTGTGTCAGCAGGTAACCAACATGGCTGTAGGAAGTGTAGATTCAGCCTATGGCAGCGCCAGTCTCCGGGATTCTGCCAGTGGCTGCAGCAGCTCTCTCTCCAATGTTAGTGAACTGGACTACGACCACAACAACAAAGACCACTTGCAGGTTTGTGGGATCTAATCCCATTTGTAATTGTTTAAAAAAGCCACTTCTCTGTCATGCTTCAAATAAGGTGTCAACAATAAACTGATGTTACAAACAATAACAAGACGTTTACTCATAAGATCCATCACATACTTTTTTCTTTTATTTTACAGACCGACATAGCAAAGAAAACAATACAGATAACCGAAACCCATCAGGAGCAGAAGGAAGAAGTGGAGGAGGAAGAGGAAGAAGAAGAGGAGGAGGAGGAGGAGGAGGAGGAGGAGTCTGGGGCAGAAATCATGCAGGGCCCATTGGACATGACAGTACTAAAGGGCCAGTCAGCCACCCTCACTGCTGTGTTTACTGGGAAGCCAGAACCTGTTGTATCCTGGCGGAAGAAGGTGAGTTTTGGATGATTTAAGAAGAAAAAGTTAAATATTCGTCCATTGGCTATCCTCAGGTTTTTGTACGAGAATAGGTTTATTTGGTGTTTTTTGTTGTGTTACTCAAATCTGACCTTCATTTCTTGTGCAAATGAGGGATTTTTGCAAAAAATATTACATTTTCATATTTAACAAACCGGTAATTAGCACAAGAATGGAGGTCAGATTTGAGTAAAGCGCCAAAAAACACACAAAAACTATTCTCATACCAAAGGAACCAAGCTGCTTAACCTAACATACAAGGAGGAGGAGGAGGACGAAAGGAGGAGACAAGCGACTCAAAGTGAGGAGTATAGCCTCAAGTAAACGTGGCAAGAACCTGCGGACAGCCAATGGACGAATATTAACCGAAAAAAATCATTATTATTATTAGTGTATTGTAGTACAGAGCAGTATACTGTATTTGTTTATTATGGAAACAATTAAGATAAATTTGCATAAGTGGGCCCAACTCAATTTCTTAGTTAATTTTGTTTTTCTTTTTCATAGTTCAGACTATTCTAAGACACTTTTCTTCCATGACATTTCCGTCAGAAAATTTTTTCCTCTAGTATTTTAATCGATAAAATTATCAACAATATTGTTAAAGTGGGCTAGGCTTTGAAGTCTTGGGAAAATGTGGGGTAAAATACTAAAAATAACACTAAACCTTTGAACACCGAAAACAACAACATATACTAAAAACTTAAGACATCACCTACTAAACACCAAAAACATGAATAAGGTAAACTTTTTATAATTCTAGGATTTTTAAAGGTTAGGAAATGTTAGATCAGCTTTTTAAAGGTTTGTTTAATGTTATTATTAGTATTTTAACCACATTTTTCCTTAATTTCAAACCCTTCCCATTTAAACAAATAATATTGTTGGTAATTTTATCGATTAAAATACTCGAAAAATATAAATTTCTGATGGAAATGTCATTGAAGAAAAGTGTCTTAGAATAGTCTGAACTATATATATATATATATATATATATATATATATATATATATATATATATATATATATATATATATATATATATATATATATATATATATATATATATATATATATATATATTGTATTGTTACAACCCTCCTTTCACCGCTTACTCACCTACCACCACTGGTTATCAGCGGCCAGGGTCGTATATACAGAAGCCGTAGGTATCTCACAATTCTTGTCGAATTACCAATGGCTGTCCCGCCAGTCTCCGGTAATTTCCAGACGATCGATATCAGTGTACAGACAAACAATAAGCAGGTAGATTTCCTCCAGATCACAGAAACACACTTGTGCACTATAGCCTCTTTAATAGTCATTAATCCTTCACAACACTGTTAAGGTAATGGCTTTACAGCTGGGCTTCTCAATTCAAATATATAGTCAGCACACTACCAGTGTACAACTCCTTTGTCTTTTCACTTTATATTGTTCACAACAGTTCCACAATACTTGCACAACAATTGTCTTCAAATGTTCTTCTAATATTATTCTTTACACTATGAACATAAGGGATCGATTGACTCGAGGCAGGCAGGTTTGGAGATTACTTTCCACTTCGCCTTTAGGCTATTTCGGCCGAAGCTGTTTTTTTCCGGAGTCGTTTTCTTTGGTCTTCTTCCTTTTGTTCGTTATGCTTTTCATTTTCCATTCTTCCTCTTGGTCATGTTCTGGTATATTCTCGTAAAAGTCTAAAAACGCTGATAATTTTTGTTACTAAATCTGGCTTTTTTGTTTCTTCGGTCTTATTTAATTCTGGCTTCTTTTCTGTGGTCTTCTGGGGTCTTGATTTTTCGTTTCTTGAATCTTATTTTCTTCGGTCTTCACTACAAGGAGAGCCTCCTTGTAGATCAGCTTTTTCTTGCTTCTCAGCTTAGCCACCATACACTCCTCCCTCCACTTGGGACACTCCTGGTCGGAGGAGGAGTCAGGGCCACCACAAGCTGCGCATTTCTTGGCGGCCGACGAGCAGTTGGTGAGCTGGTGCCCGGGTATCCTGCAACTGCAACAGACCTCCCGAGCTCGACACTTCCCTGCCAGATGGCCATACCTCTGGCATTTGTAACACCTTGTTGGTCTTCTTTCATACGGTCTTACTAAATTTGTCAAAATAACTGCTTCATGGGACAGAAAACAATCAAAACAGATTGGTTTACAAAATTATGATACAAAATTATGCCATGGCATAACAGTATTTATATCTGAAGATGTTGACAGAAGATTTCCAAAGGTTAGGTTTCATTTTCCAGTCCAACATTTTATTACAGGTATTTATATGCATCATCATGGGATGTGAACAGAGGTGTAGTGCTGTGGGAACGAGTGGAAACGGCATTCCTTTACTTATTTTTGGTAGGTGGAACAGTGTTCCCTCACTACTTCAAATAAATTCGAACTTGCGAATCTCTAACGTCATGAAATTTTCGTTGCCACCCCTAAAGATGTATGAGAAAGAATTATTAACGGTTTCTTTTCTTGTAGCTTCAGCTGAGGCAATGCTAGCCTATAAACTTTGGGGTATTAAAATTTTGCAGCATTGCCGCTTTATTTAATTATAAAAATAATCACAAAAAAGAGCCTCCCTCCCATATCTTACTGGCCGCTCCCTCACTTGGACGTTTTAGATTGCCATTTTAAAAAACAACCATACCCTCCATAATCGTTATGATGAGGTCCAGTGGTTTGGGTGTTTGCTCCCCTTTGCAGTGAATCAGATCTTTAACATGTTGGAATTGAAAATTGTCTCTCCGAGTTTCTACGAAAAGAGTGGCTGGATTATGGTCATTTGGCGTGAATTCATTTCTCCGGTCAATGTCGCCATAATTAAAGTACCCCATGAAAAGGAGGTGGCTAAGGTTTAGCACCATTAAATTGTTAATTAAGGCTCTTTAAGTTCTTTTGGTTTAGTATGCTACAGTTTTGGGATCTGTTGGTACTGTACATCCCAAAATGAGTAAGTCTCTCCCCTTCAGTTTAATTTTACACCACTTTGATTCTTCAAAAATATCCTCTCATGCACCCTCACCTGGCTGGCTCTAAGGTCTTGTCTAGCATAAATAACCACACCCTACTTGCAAGTTTCTTGGGAAAGGTTTGTAAATGAGTCCTATCCATCTATATTGAACTCGCATTCTTCCGGTTCAATTCTCCTGTTTTTGTACAACAGTTCTACAACACTGACTGTATCAGGTTGATGTACCCGCAGTAGTGTAATGTCTCTGGTCTTGGTATTTACTCTGGCTCCCCTCCATTCTCTGCAGCTGCCTGGTTTGCTGTATCCCTTGTGAGTTGTGGTCAGAGATGACCTGCTGTCCCCTGGCTGTGAACTGGTGCATTTGCCTCCACTATCTTCCCTCTGTAAATAGCCCCTGCACGTCCGTCCCCGTTCCGCATCGACTCCTCCTCCATCTGCTTCAAGAACTCCAGGAGTTTTTTGTGCTGTTCTCTCTGCATTACCGTGTGATCTGGGTTTAAGAATATACCGTACCCCAAAATGTATCGCTCCTTGCTAATTTTTTGCATGCTGAATAACTTCCAATTTCTTATCCTCACTCACTAGTGTGATCCTGAGGGGGCAGGGCTTGTCCTCCTACCTTTATCCTGGCCTCCTCATGTCCTGAGTGGGAGATGATAATTTCAGTGCCTCATCACAAATATTCCGAAATTTCAACTTGTCGTGCGTTTTCCAAGTTTCAGTTTCCTTCGACTGGCTTTCAGGGACTCCAAACACTATTATGTTGTTCTTACACTCTGAACATTCCCGTTTCTTTTCTTCTCCCATATCGGTAGGTCTACTAGGTGTCAACTCTTCAACACACTTCTACAGAGTCCCTAGCCACCGGAGGACCTGTTCAGAACCTGCATTATTCTCCAGCACTTTCTGTGTCCCTGCTACAACCTTAGCATTGCTCTTCTTAACTACTTCCTCTGTTCTGTCAGCTACTTCCCCAGTCTTAGTGAGGATCTCTTTCCCATCCTGCTCCGGCTTGGCAACCAACACGGATTTAGCATCCTCTATTTTTGTCTCTAAGTATCTCGTTCCCCTGTGATCTCTAAATACTTCATTTACTTTGATTTTGCAGTTAGGGCAATACCAGCAACATCCTTCATACTTTACTGCATTCAGCGCCTCCCTAAACACTCACTTTTACTTTTATCTTCTTCACCACTGATCGGCTCGTTTGCCGCTTGGGCGATCGGTTACATCTCTGTTATGCACTGTTGGCAAGTACTGGGCATGCACTGGCTCCTGAATGTACCTGAACCTGCTCCAGTGCTTATCCAGTCTGGCCTTGAAACAGCTCACACTCGGTGCCGTCACAACACACTCGGCAGATTGTTCCAACAGTTCACAACTCTCACTCAAAAAAAGTTACCCTCACAGTTTTTGGACTTGCGGCTTGTTCAACCTTGAATTGTGACCCCTTGTGGGGCGAGTGTCCGCCAGCTCCAGGTAAGGGCACTCGACTGAGTAGTGCCCTTTAAGATGCTTGTACACCTCAATTAGATCTCCCCTTGTCCACCTGTAGTATAAACTATGTTATAGGCAATTTCAGGCTCTCTAATCTCTCAGGGTAGCTGAGGTGGCCCTCCTTTGGACATTTTCAATCAACTGACAGCCCCTAGCATATCTCGGTGACCAGACGGGGTGACAGTACTCCAGACGGGGAAACACTTCACTCTTGGAGATCATTACAAGAGACGGACCGTCTAGATATCTGAACGACATTCTCATGAGCCCTAATAATTTAGTTGCCCGATTTACCTTCTTCTCGCAATGGCCCGAGAACTTCAGCTTATTGTCAACGTACAAACCTAGGTCCTTTTCACATTCAGTCTCAATTAATGCAGTTTCTTCATCCCGTTGGGACATGATACGCCTCCTTACCGTTGGTATATCCCAGGTGCAGCCTCTTACACTGTGTGACATTGAATCTTAACAGGCATTTCTTCAACCATTCTTGAAGCTC